TCTCCTTGCAACATGGTTCCCTCTCTCTCCCTCTCTCTCTCTCTCTCTCCCTCTCTCTCTTTCTCTCTCACCCACCTCACATTTGCCAGTACCAGAGCTATCTGACTGGCAACCAACTAGAGCATTGTGTCTTCTTGGCGAAGAAGAGTAAGAGATAGACAGGACAGTGAAAAAGAGAGAGAGAGAGGGAGTGACAGAGGTGAGAATGACATATGGACAGGGGGGATGGAAGACACCCGCACCATCCATCTCCATGCTTTGAGAGTGTCTTCGTTCAAAGGAGCAACTTCTCAACAAAAACAAATATGTGCAGTGGAACCGTCTTTCCGTCTCACTCTTTCTTCATTTCTTTGTGAATATTTGGGACTTTTATTACTATTATTATTATTTCATTTCTAATTTTTTATTTTCAGAAGGACTCAGTTGAGTATGAGGAGTTATTTTGAGTGGTGTCAGACAGTTTGGCTCCAATTCTGAGCTCAGAGATTGACAGACAGTCAATGACAGGCTGCAATACTGTGTGAGTAACCTGAGTGAGAAGGAGGAGGAGGAGGAGGAGGAGGAAGAGGAGGACGTTTAACACTGAGGAGATACAACATGTGCGTTCACAGATCACTCGAACTCTGACGGATTTTGCATGATAGATGAGCCACACTGGATGTCATAATGTATCTGTGAGTATTCAAGATTATTTAAAGTTGTATTTTATTTTACATAACTCATGTTTTAGTACATGATTGGTTTGCAGCCTTTAACAATCATTTTAAATAAGAATAATAATATGAAACATCTAATAGAAGTTTTTCATATGTGCCATATGTTATATACAGTACTTTTTTGTATATTCAGTAAAAAGTTCTATTGATGTATATAATTCTGTTGATAATGAAATTAGGTGATTTAGTGGTAAATCAATGAAGATGGAAATTTAATATGTAATCATGTAGCTTGATTAAATGGATTCATTAAAAAAATATATTATTTTTTTGAGACAGTTGTTACGGCATATATACAACATATTGTGCAATATGAGGCAATAACAAATACATGAATTCAACAAAAAGAAAAGACATATTTTGGACAAATATAAAATCTAGTGCAATTAAATAATTAATTATTAACGATTATTGAAGAATACTTTTAATGAAATATTGGTAACATAAAGGTTTATCACATTTATCAAAAATGTTTCATTTGAGTGACTGATACAAACTATTATACAGCTTGTTGTGCAGAAATGTGCAGGTTAAACTGTCCAAGGATTCAGGCTTGACTTGACAGCGTTAAATATGTCGTTACTACAATAAAATATATGGGTAGTCATCACTGTTTTGTTTCTTAGCTACCATAGCAAAATAGTTTAACGTTTGTGCTGCACAAATAACCCTGATGAGTATTTAAAAGTGAAACCTTTTAAATATTCGTCTGCAGCTGTTAGCTTCTCTAAAGTTTTGTTTCATCAAGATAATTAAATATAAAGCTGCTTAAAAAAACCTTCCTATGAATGTCTCTGCACATCACTGTGAAAAATGGAACCGTCCAAATATAAAGTCACGACCACTAGAAAAGACAAAACAGGAACAATTGCGATTGCAAAACCTGAGAAATCATCAGAGTTTTACACGTTGCAGAGCAGAATGCAAACAAATGTCTTCCTGCTTGAAGACGTAAGGTTAAACAGCAAATCCACTTGATATCCAGCATTTTAACATCCCATCAGTAATAGTAATCAGAAATAGATGAGTCTGTACATTTCCATGCAGTGAATTCAGATTTCAACTGCAGACCAGCTTCCACTGAGGACTCCCTACACATCACATTTTTAGCACACGTTATTGTGGTGCTTATGTGCACATTTTGACCTTTGAGGACATTTTAACATCTTATTATCTTTCCAAAATATACACCAAAAATATATATCCTGAGTGTGTGTGTGTGTTTTTTTTTTCTTTCTTTTTCTTTTGTTCAACAGACTCTTTGATATCAATCCAGTCTTCACCGGTCTGGGACGTTCTGAATGCTTAAAAGGATTTTGACTCACATCCTCAAAATACACTCAGACAGACATATAGACAGACTCATTAAGAGCAGCCACTGGAGACTCATTCAAAACGCAGAATCTGCTGCTCAGGATGTACTGTAAGAAAAATACAGACACCCAGTTCACAACAGACCGCAAAAACCTCCACGGCTCCACGCTACACCCAGAGACAATACCACAGAAGTAGCCCCTCATGCATGATTTCAACACACAGAAATTACCACATTTTGTTTCATTTGCACCTTCTGTAATGTTCAAGTGAGGGAATGAATACAGACTCGGGTTCAATCACGCTGCAGATACAGTTACAATCAGACAACAGCCAGCAGAGGAGGGAAAGAAGGGTAATAAGACTGACTCAGACAGTAGCTGTCGCTCCATCCAAGGCACATGTAATTGGGATTGACGGCTTGAAAACTCACATGCTGACCCTGACAACAATAAGAGCAACTGATGGATTTCAGGTTGGAGGGAAAATCGACATTTTTAGTGAGGTAGAGCAGAAAAATATTTCAAAATCTGCAGGAAAGTGGAACAAAGGAAGAGGAAATAAAGTGCTATCTGTTGCCTTTATGGAAAAGACACATAGACTTGGCTAGGAGATGTTTAAAGGGCTCTGTCAGATGGGCTGCAGGTGGTACACATGAACATGTTAGTTACTCTCATACACATATAAAGACACCACAGGGACAAGACACACTGATACATACTCACAGCACACACGCTGGGCAGCTGAGAGGAACAAGAGCTTCAAGAGACTTCACCACCATGATGGAAAAGCTGAACCCCACCAGCCCACCTGTCTCACCCCCCGACCTGCCTCGCCCCTCCTCCTCTTCTTCCTCTGCCTCCTCCCCAACCTGCGCATCCATGGAGCAACACAGCCCCACCCAGAACCAGACTTTAGCATCTTCAGACGTCATCAGCAGCCCGCATCCCACTAAAAAGGCAGGGCACAAGGGACACACGGATGTCCCCACTGCTGACTTGATTCAGTCCTCCATTACCACAACGACAGTGTTAACCAATCACCACGAAGATAAAGCTGCTGCACCTGAGCCCATTGTCATGGAGACCGAGCAAGAGCAGGAAGAGAAGCAAGGAGGACCGACCACCACCACAGCCCCTGCTGCTTCTGCCAACAGGTCCCCAACTCTGTCTTCTCCACCTCCACTCCTCCCGGCACCAACCAAGACGTCCCCGTGTCCTGTCCCACCTCCAACCTCCACATCATCTTTTCCCACATCCTCATCATCCTCTCCTCTTCCTCCACACATTCCAGTCATCAGTCTCGGTCACAGCAAGCCCCCTCTGCCGCTCCCAAACACCCCTTTGACTGCCCTCCATCCCATTCCCAGCCTCCTACACGGGCCTCATGGGGACATTCGCCGTAGCCAGCTGACCTGTTTGCCTGTGGCAAGTCCTGGGGGCCCCAGACTTTCTGGAGGTCCTGTAGGCCCTTCAGCTCCCTCCCCGGGGCCCCTGTTGCCTCAGCAATACCTGCCTGCACACCCCTTCTTCCCCAGGTGAGATTTGGCTTTTTTGCATTCATCCACTTAGACAGTGTTTCCCAGCATATTTGCTCTATCAGCTCTTGAAATTTAGCAGTTCAAACTTAAACCATTTATACCGCTTGTCACACATTGCATATAAGTGGGTGGGCAGAGTGATCTTCCCCTCTCAGATTGTTTTGTCTGAATAGATTTTGGAGGCATAAAGAGGTGGTATCTATTTCACAAGAAAAAAATAATGATTGGTGAACAATCAGAAAACAATCAATATAATTTTGTGTTTAACCCTTTCTTATCCAGTTAATCATCTTGCAACCCAGTACTGATAGTGCTATCCAATATCCTGATGTTATGAGCTGACAGTGTATTAAATAATCTTGTTAATGACCAGTCAGATGACGCTGAATGTTGAATTTGAACCTTTGTCCGAATTGTGTAAAAGTGTTATAACTTCAACTACAGAACATCGTGTAGCACATAAAATCACACTAATAAATCCCACACACTCATTCATCTCTTTTTTTAATGGTAATACAAACAGATGTGTGACACTGAACTATAAAATTTACTGCAATATGGCTTCCTGACAATGATGCTGCTTCGTTGGTCACAATGCCAAGTTTCTGTTTCATACGAAACCTCAACTGCTGGGATTTCATGACTTCCCATTGTGATTAATAGCGACTGCACTACACGGTTAGGTGAAATTGACAGCAGGATGTGTGCTGTTATGAAGGGACCTCACATTTCTCATGCTTAACTTACTAATGAGAACATTTGGTTTTTAGCATGGAGTTGCATTATTTAATGGGGTTTTTTTGTGTGTGCATTTAGTATGAAAAAACCTATCAACATGTACACCCAGTTTTAATTGCAGCTAAATATAGTCGTTGAACTGACAAAAGGCAACAGACCAGCACTCTTAAAGCTCTTTTTGGGCTTGAGGAATTGGCAACTCATAGCTCTCATGAAGAAAGGCATTCATTTGCAGACATTATCAAAGCCCTCCTACTGTTCATCTATTCTCTACTCCAAAAAGGATTATCCACACTGCTTCTCTCTGTAACACAGCATCAGCTATATTTAAAAAAAAAAAGGACTTTTTTCACTGTGGCCACATCTATGGCTTCCCCATCTGTCATGGAGGTCTGGGAATAAGATTCCCGCTCCACTTCTCTCTGGTTTGTTTGTAGCAGGAAGCATTGATCTATCTCATCCCCCCGAAGAAGAATCAGCTAGTAACCAGGCTTAATGAGACTGGGCTAAAACTCTGCATGCACACTCAATCAACGACACCAGCATAATCAGACCTCAGTTAATGGCTTCCACCATTTTCTTCCTTTCTCCTTCCACTCTCTGAGATCTCGCTCTATTTGGTGTTATTTAATACAAGAGATGCTGGAGCGGCCGAGCATGTTTGTAAGCTGTTTTTATATTTAGCTGCATTTTATTTTTTGTTTTTTTATTTTATTGGTTGATTGTATATGCAATTACCACAATGTCACATTTTCAAACACTGTATTTTCATCTCCAGTTCCTACCTGGGTCCCTCAGGAGGAAACTATGGTGTCATCAACACCAACCGGATCAAGAGAAGACCCTCGTCACACTTTGAGATGGAGATCAATGACTGTGAGTTACTCTGCATCAAAATACAGAATCACACACTGATATCAGCCACTGATAACAGCCACAGTAACTGTAGTTTGCATGTTTGAAAGTGTGTTGATGGAATTGCTGCCCACAGCTCAGAGCATGAAGTTTGATATTTAAAGTATTTGAAAGATAAGTTTGGTGATGGTCTGCATTTTTATCACTATCAGAAAGTCCTGTGACAGAAACACCAACAATGGGTTAGTTCATCTCTCAACACTTTTCTACTTCCCCACCATGTCTGTGGCTTTCAGCCCCACGCCTGCTGGTTACTGCTGAATGTATCTCAAAAATATACCCATAAGAACTAAATAATTCCCTAAAACAGCAAATGTTACTCCAATATAAGTAAAAAGATCATGTGATTCAGGTCTATTTTAAGTGTCAGATTAATGCATATTTGGTACTGTACTGAGTATTTATTGCAGCACTTGGTGTAAAGTGTGTGGAATTGACTCAGAATAAACTACAGTGTCCATGTTCATGGTAGTAATGGAAACTGATGAGCCACTGCGGCTCATTGATGTGTTTTCAATAGTTTTTGGATGATGCTGAGATTTCTGTTGCACAGAGAAATCAGCCTGACTTTAGGATCAATTCATTGTTGGTTAAGAAAAATATAGAAAAATATATAGAATTAAAATATATTATGTATATTAATTTATCTCTAAGGTTGTTCTCACATACACAGTGTTTATGTGTGTCCAACAGGCCCCCCTCAGAAACTCGCTCGGCGTGTCTTTACCAATAGCCGTGAGCGCTGGCGACAGCAGAACGTGAACGGGGCTTTCTCTGAGCTCAGGAAACTCATTCCCACACACCCACCTGACAAGAAGCTCAGCAAGAATGAAATCCTTCGCCTGGCTGTGAAGTACATCAACTTCCTGGTCACGCTGCTCAATGACCAGGCCCAGGACAAGAACAGGGACTCAGCTGAGGATGAGGCTGAGGATGAGGGTACTGTCGCAGGGTCGGGCAGTAATAAAGTGAACCCTCTTTTTCAGTCCCACACTGCCGCCATGCCATCTTCAGCTGCCATAGCGACAGCCCACAGAGACAGAGACTCAACTGACTCAGTCATCGCCCTGGCTAATTCCCCAGCAACATCCAGTTGCTATGGTGACACAGACAGTGAGGAAAGCTTTGGGGGTAAGACCTCTTTGGTGACCCAAGGCATTCTGGGGAAGGTCAAGGGTCAGATAAGGATGGTGGCAGCCACAAATGATGAGCGGTGACGCCAAAGAGAAGCAAACCGAGAGGTGTGCAGCCACTGGGAGTTTAAATATCACACTGATAGACAAGACAGGACACACGGTCGTCTCTAAGTGTTTGAGGAGCCAGCGTGGTTCTTAATTCAGTCACACACTGCTGGAAGATCAACTCCCACACAGCGTGAATTAGTAGGAGATGGATTTTTGGTGATATTTTGTCATTTTCACTGTCTCTATGTGTTTTGCAGTGATGTGCAAACATTGAATGTGAGGCTCTGTGTTTTTAAGTAAAATACTGAAATATGCTCTGGGGCAAGCTGAGAGGCATGAAACATCACAGAACTTGTTTGTGTTTTGTCAAAATAAGGTCACAGTGTTCCTTTGTTAAACATTACACCTGAGTGTCAAACAATTAAAATCCATAACATGGATGTATTATGCAAAATAGAATCTTGGAAATCTTAATTGTACTGTCTCAGGCTAATATGGTTAATATGTTTTAATAACAAAAATCCAATAATCCTTCTTCAAGAAAGTCAGGATCTTAAATTCCACTGCTGTAGATCCACAAAAATGTAAAAAAAAAAATCAAATTCTTTGTTCCAATCTAAATGCAGCCTCAGAAGTTTACATGTCAGTAATCGGCATTTCACTTATCTGGGATCAAGTTGCAGTTTTTAATGTTGCTGTTCTTATTGTCAGAGAAACAGGGCCAATGGTCCCACCCTGACATTGTGACACACTTGTACCAGACAGAAATAAAGTGTGTTTTAGTTTGCTGTTCCTTATTTGACATCCTCTTATTGCGCTCCAAAGACTTTGCTCTTTGTCAGCATGATTGCTCAACACATCCAAATGTTTTGCTGCTTTCAGTTTAGGGAACATTCGTGTATGCTCAAAGTGTTCAGTAAGTGGTAGTCTCAGTGTGAGATGATCACATTAATAAAAATGCAAGGCTATTAGATCAGGATTATGATGATGAAGAAATTTACTTCTTTTAATGTTATCTTTAAATGTTAATTTTTTCCAATAATAGTCACCATATGTTCATAACTCAACACAACAAATTTGTCACCACATATTCTGTGGGCCGAATAGTCAAAGCCAAACTCCATGTTGTTTGTTTGTGCTGTCCACCAGCATGACAGATTGACAACAGCACTTTTAGCATGGAAACCATAAACAACACTAGTTGAAAAAAACGTAGCGGGTGATGTGACAACTTGAAGCTGGATAAAACTGTTCGCTGACATTTCTGTCACAATCCCAGCCCTGGAAAAAAGAAAAAAGAAAAACGTCATCCCATAAACTGTTGCCATTTTCCAGGCAGCAGGTTTGGGAAGGAATGTTGCACATGTTTTGTATATGTTTTGTGCATATTGTAGGCGCGTGTGTATGTGTGTGTGTATGTCTGTGTGCAAACAATCAAGTGGATGTGGTACAGAATTAGCAAAAGACTGATGTAACAGCAACAATTGTAAGTGTGTGGTTGTGTGTGAGGAAGGTCAGGGTGGATGTGGGATGGGGTTAGAGATGGGGTTCAGCATGGTGGGGGGCAGCATAAGAAAAAGAAAAGATGGGGGGGGGGGTAAATTGCAGCTGTGCAGTGGTGCTGGTGTGTTTTTGCCTGCATGCTTGGCTCTATCAAGTGGCCAGGAAACGCCTACAGTTAGTGCTGTCTCATTGACGGCCAACAAGTTTCCTGGAGAAGAAGTGGTGGCGTGTTTGTGTGCGTGAGTGTGTGCGTGAGTGTGTTTGGTGTGTGTGGGGGTTTTTGGACATGTAGGGTGGCAAGCGTTGCATGGAAGAAGGGTGTGGGGAAAAACAGAAAGAGAAAACAGCTACCAGGATGCTCTGGGAACCCCTATACACCCGGTTTCGGGACCACACAACAGGAAGGACTGCTTTCACAACACTGCTACGGCTGCTTCTGCCCGCTCTGTTGTGCCAGGCTGGTCTGTCCCCTCCCTGCTTCACTCTGAAACCACTGAGAGGATCACAAATGGTGGCAGGGGTCACCTAGTACTGCAACGTCTGCCAGTTTTTTTGTCGTAGCACAATTGATAAACTTTCACAAAAGGCCTCCTTGTGTCAAGGTGTGAGGTATTTAAGGATAAAGCAATAGATACGTTTTTTCACAGCAGACATTTTGAAAAGTAGGAGTAGGAAAAGTAGGAAAAGCAAAGGTGTTGCTCATAACATGAACAAGGGCTCTGTTACATTCAAATTTCACAGTAAGCCATGACAGTGTGACGGTGAGCCAACATGCACCATACTAGACCCTGAAACTAAAGAAGCTAAATGGAATTCAGCCATCATTCATTTTATTATTTACCCCTGTGCTTTTCCCACCGTGTCTTCTGTGAAAAAAGGCATACTGAACTTTATATGCCACATCTAAAAATTTTTCTACTCATGTCCTCAAAGGTATCATATTTACTGTATCTCTAGCTATACATTCAATGTGAAAATATTACAAACTCCACTTTTTAAGCAAGTCCTAATTTTTTTAACAAATATTCTCTATAGATTTACTCACTGAAATCAATAAACCATCATTTTTGGCCTTAATTCAGGCTCAGCCTGTATAAAGGAAAATGCAATTTGCTCTAAAATATTTTCTTTAGATCTGCAGTATTTCATTTTAAATATTGCTGTGATGCACACTATTGGTCAAAATGAAACCTTATAACATTAAATGAGACTGCTGGGGTGTTAACCTTCTCCCCTTCTTCTGATACAGCAGGCCAGCAGGGTGATGCTGGCCAGGCTGGGACTTAGAGATAATGTCCTTTCCTCCACCCCTTCTCTTCCAATCCTCCGTTGTGCCCCTCTTGCCATCAGAGTTACACCCACACACACATTAGCTCTATTTCACCAATCACATACAGATTAAACTTTCACGTCTCATGAGGAGCACTAATGCTAGAAGGTTCTCAGTCTTAATGCAGCTTTAGCTTTAGCAAACTGTTAAACCTGCAAAAACAAGACAGTTTCAAATGAATACTGAAAATATTTAAATATATAACATTAATAACTATATTTAATATTTAAACAGATCATACTTGCAACAAAGTGTGTGTTGAGACCTTTTGTGCCAAACTGTGAAGACAACAACACACAGACATAAAAGCAAAAATGTTATAACATTTTTTAATCAAGCAGTGAAGAAATATTAGAGGAATGGCTGTACAATGTATTATATAATTTGCTGAAAGAAAGTTTAAATTCACCTTGAAATTTACAGTGATGAGTAAGTGATGTGTAGGAGATTACATTCTTGGTTAAGTATTTAGCAAAAACAATAACTGCATTATTACAGTATTTTACAACAATTGCATTATTATTTTCCTGGATGATTTGACACACCTTGCAAACTCTATATAGGATAAGCACCTAAATACTTTTCATGTGCCCAAACAAATCCATTAAGCCAAGTTAATCCAAGTTCATTTTGCCCAAATATAGAAGCATATTTTCATATATGTTGCTAGGACAGCCCAAATATCAACTTAACTGAGTGTAGGTGATATTCATCTTTATTTTTAAAAAGTCACAAACACCCCCCTTCATTAACTAGTGGAATGAAACTTAAGCAAATACTGGGATGAAACTGAAGCTCAGAATCATCGCAAGATGTTTGTTTATAAAAACAGCTTTACCAAGCTCACATTAGTATTTTGCATATCTGTGACGAGACAAAGAAACAAACACTAACAGAAAAGTGTCTGTGTTTTAAAGATCACCAAGTTGTCAAAATATAAGTAACAACTATTTTCCACAGTTTTTGAATTATACATTCTGATGGTACTAATTCACAATGGATAAATGATTTTACATTTGATGTACACTTTATAAACATGCTCCATTCAGTCTTTCATTCAGTTTTCAGTGCTTTCTCTCCTTGTTTTGCCAGTGAGTCCAAGCTGTCATTCACTGTTCTCTCAACGTTTTTTGCAGCTTCATCTGTCTTTGTGTTTCTGTTGCTGAGTTTTCGTCTACCCACTTCACTTACTGCAGATCCAGCAGCTGCCCCAACAGCTCCGCCGATGACACCCCCCAAAAACACACCAAGCAGCAGACCCAGCAATGCACCCACGATGACAACCTTGGGCACCTGTTTAGCTGTAGTTGCCATCTTCTCCCACACTGAGCTCTCAGCCACCATTTTGGCTGATGCTTTGGCCCCAGAACCCACTTTCTCCCACACCGGACTCTGTGCCACCTTCTTTGCACCAGCACCAATTCCAGCTCCAACTCGCACAGAACTGCTGGCCACCAGTTTAGCTCCAGATTTGGCCCCAGATCCTACTTTTCCCCACATAGGACTCTGCGCCAAATTCTTTGCCCCGGCTCCGATCCCAGCTCCAACACGCATGGATCTGTCTGCCACTAGTTTGGCCCCTGAACCGACTTTTTCCCACATAGGACTTGCTGCTGCTGCTTTTGCTCCAGATCCCACCCATGCAGAACCATCCACCACCACCTTGGGGACTCTATTTCCTACTAGTTTGGACATATGTCCAGCAGTAGCTCCCACCTTACCCAACAGTGAACTATCAACCACTATCTTCTGGACATTTTGTGCTCCACTGCCAACTTTCCCCCACACTGTACTACTCCTCACCTTCTTTGCTCCCTCACCGACCCACACAGAGCTATCTCCCAACACTTTGGGTAACATTTTTGCACTAGACTCCATTTTCTCCATAAGGGAACGAAAGAGTGAAGGGGACAAGTTCGAAAGAGTAATAGGAGGAAGGCTCTCAAGATTCATGGTGCTTACATTCATCTCTGCCTCATCCCTTGTTTTCTCAATCTCATCCTCTCTCACTTCCTCTTCTGCCTCAGCCACATGCTGCATGTGGAGTACCCGCCTCTCAGAGCTGAGCTGTCCAACGTCTCCTAGTTTTTCTTGCTCTAGCTTTTTGCCTCTTTTCTCCTTTGCTATCTCTAGCTGTCTCTGCCTCACTCGGTTCTCTGCCTCCTGGAAAGCAGGACAAGAATAACACTGCCCTCCAGCCTCCTTCACTGTCTGCTCCACCTTCTCCAGAAGCTCCGCCACATTCCCCCTCTTACTCCCACCTCCTCCACTCTCAATCACATGAAACCTGTCCCGGCATTTCTCCACAAGTTTTAACAAATCCCCCCGCTGACTTGCAATGTATGCCTCCATGCTGTTGTTGCCTGCCTTCCCACTCGCCCTCAGCCGATCTGCATGAGTAAAGAGGACCAGAGTGTATCTCTGGACAGCATCTGGGCCAAAAACAGTTTCAAGAGCTCTGAGTGCCTGAAGCTCGATCTTTGCAGGCTGGTCTAAGGGGACACACAGGAGGAAGGCGTGAGGACCAGGACTGGATAAAGCAACACAGGAGGAGATATGAGCTCGCACCTCATCTGGAGTATGCTCTGAATTGAACCAGTCTGGTGTATCCACCACCGCCACCTGCAGGAAGGAGAGGGGACATATGCAGCAATATAAAAGCACAGTCAAATCATGGGAAACCTGCCAGATTCTATTGTTTTATGACACAAAACAAGAAGAGGGTGTCAAAGATTAGATATTTGGAGTTTTGGCACATGGTGGAAATCAGGGAAAGCAAAATGGAAACAGACTTCTTAATAATTTTTAAAACACTAACCCTTCTTCCTTCAACCAGTGCTTTCTTTTTCTCACACGCCTGCGTGATGGCTGTAAGGCTGTCCGGGTGTGACACAAACTCCTCCCGCCCCAGGATACTGTTGCCAGCTGCACTCTTCCCTGCTCCAGATCGCCCGAGCAGCACCAGACGCAGCTCTGGAGAGGATGAGGAGGATGGATGGAAAGTGGAGGTAGAGGCGTCAGCAAAGGTTGATGAGGAGGGGGACGAGGTGGAAAAGGGGAATGAGGAAGGAGAGGCAGCGACGGTTGGTGAGGAGGGCGAGGAGGAGAAGACGGGCGAACCAGGAGATGAAGTTGGAGACGCCTCAGGGGATCGCTTTTCAAAGCTGTTGATTCTGTGATGAACTGAAAACAATCAGGTGAAATCCAGAGTTTAATATGGAAATAAAAATATTTCAATAATTTCTAAACTTCAAACATCATATAAGTGGGATGTTAAGTGACATGAAATAAAAGAAACAGTGAGGTCCTGTGACTTACAAGTAGTTATAATTTTTGGACTTGATTTAACCTCAGACATTTGTGAGAGTAGAGCTCCATCTACAGAGGAAAAACAGTAAATATGAGTCCTACACATTTTATTGGTCAGGTTCTTCTTCTTGTACAAGATATTGTGATGCAAAAATGGATCCAATGGAATTTACCTTCATTAAGTCTGAAACTGGGCATCCTCTTCATCTGGCTGTCACCATGCGTCTCTGAATATGACTGTTGTTCTGGTGCTGGAGCTGAATGAAGTCCATTAGACACTTGACTTACACCCACTCTTCCCTCCATCTCATCCCTCTCTTGTCTACTCCTCCTCTCCAAGGTGACGCTGTACTCCTCTCCTCTCCTTTGTGTTTCTGTGTTTGGGATGTGCATCGATGCGGCCGTCTCTCTTCTTTCTTCCTTTTGAGCTCTGAAACTTTCCATAAGTTCTCGCTTTCTCTCTCTCACTCGTTTCTCCAGCTCTCTCTCCTGGACTGTTTTTATGTGGTATACCCCATTTTGCTGCACCATATTGTCCACCTGTTACGTTTGAATAACAAACAATAACTCACATGGACAATTAAAATGTCACATTTTATAATTCCTGCTTTCCTCCCATGTGTAATTAACTCCTAATCATTAATACTCAAACCGGTCCTGACTACAAATGGGTGTGATTGTGTGAAACAGGGTGTTGCTGGGGAAAGTACAGCATACTCTGACGAAAACAAAACAAAAAACTCAATCTCATATTCTATGCAATAAAACTGAACTGTTAAAATTTTTTCCAAGTCCAAGTATTTTTAATTAGCCTACACACAGAAACTGGTAAAATTGTTAGATGACTATTGATACTCATCATGAAAACAGAAATGTCATTAACAATGCACATTGGGAAATGTGCCAAAATGTGTGTGCAAACTCTACACCGATGCTGTTCTGTCAATCGGTCTTGTTCGGTCTTACCTTCTCCAGCAGCTCACGGACCTGCTCCCTGTCCTGTCGCTGACGATTATTGATGACATGGTACCTCCCCCCACAGCGCTCAATGATCTGCCTCAGGCCTGGGTGTTCTTTCTGCAGGTATTCCTGTGGGAAAAAAAATCGGTTTGTGCAAATTTGGACTTGCAATGATTTGCCTAACTTTTTTTATTCTTCGTAATTTATTTAATCAGGAAGTCACATTGAGATCCAAATCTCATTTACAAGTAAGACCTGAGTAAAAAAAAAAAAAAAAAAAAAAAAAATTTCAGTGATTTAAATATATATTTATATAGATTACAGCAATTTAAATATACATTCTGATATGTATTTATATAAACAAGCAAATATGTATTTATATAAACATCAATCAGAGTGCAAATTTAAATGCATGGCTCTCTCCTGTTTTTAAAACCAGCTGTCCAAACTGGATACAATGAATGATGAGGAATTACTGATAGGATATCTGAAGGAGAAGCTGCAGTCAGTTTGAATTGCATCCCCAACAAACTCAATGGTTCATCAGTTCAAATGGCATCCTGACAAGAGAGGGGCAGGTAATGTATTGTACTTGCAGTGCACTGATCCAGCGGTACGATTTACCAAAAGGTCAATTTCTGCTCTAAATTTATCAGATATTTCACGGCACCAAAATGTATACATAAGTTTACAAATACTAGAATAAACTAGTATATATACAGTGTAATAAACATGAAAGGGGCCAGGTGTACACCCTCATACCTCCACTGTTCTTCCCATCAAGTAATCACCACATGTCAGCAGGACCAAGGTGTGGTCCATCACTTCCTCCCCAAACACCTTCTCCAGCTCTGCAGGCACACAACCCTCCATCTGGGAAGACCAGGGAAAGAGGGAGAGTCATTATTAGGAAATAAATTCATAAATCCCCAGCCAACTCTTTGACAACGTGATAGAAATTATTCATATTGAATACTGGCTACAATTTGTTCATTGCAGTCTGATTGATCAAACGTTTTAATTTTCAAAAGGAAACAAACATGAATGAATGCATATTAGGAAAAATAAGAATGAGACTTGTTGTTGGACTTAATTCCAAAGAGTTGTCATTAATGATTACACGGGATGATGAAAAACATAACTATTATAAAAACTTAAAGACAACTGAAGCAGCAAACAAAGACTAAAACCAACCTCGGTGAACTGGCTAACTGGCACCAGCAGCAAAATACCATGAGCACCTGGTGCTACCAGCGTTGTTGCTCTCTTTGTCTCCTTCCTGACACTGTCCTCCATCTTGCCGCCGCTCCAGTACCATCTCGGCGCCTCCACCAGGGTCACGCTCCTGCCCTCAGAGAGGCCCTGTCGCAACTGGCAGCTCCTGGAGGCAGAGGGTGAGATGGGGGACAGCTGGCCCAGGATAGTGTCTGCTGATGACGTTTTGCCACATCCAAGGTTCCCTAAAAGAACAAGCCTCAGCTCTGGGGGCGTGGACCCGTAGTAGCTCCCTCTCAAGTGTTCACTCATAGCTGAAAATGGAGAAAGGAGGAGGAACAGGTCAAATGTGCTAATTCTGTACTAAAGATTACTCACCCTATTTGGTAGGAAGCTGCTCAAACTAATCGAAAGAAAGGGCGTGTTGTCAGAATGCGAGTTCATACATGTGGCTTTAGTCAAAAGTTTGTCTATAAAGACTTGGAGAAGCTGAAATCACACACAAATAAAACTGGGAAACTTGAGAACTGGACAGGTTGAGCAGGAGGTTATCTAATCTGGTATTTGATATGAGAGACTTTCATGTCCATTTCATCCGTGATTATAAAACACCTTTCTTTTCTGTCCTGACTGTGTACTTGTGTCCCACAGTTAAAAAGATCAGACAACTTGTTTAGTTTCTTTACTTAATTTTCTACTTTTTTACTTAATCATTTCACCTCTTGTGCTTGGGTTAACAAGAACTAAGATGATTGATAATGGCTGTTCTCTCGCTCAGCTTTCATTTCACTGGAGCCTGTCTTACGTTTCTCACTGTATCCCTGTTTTATCAGTCTGGATGGTATGCCACACCTTGCCAGTCCTGTCCAACTACATTGTACCTGGACTTTTATTTTTGGAATGATACGCGAACATACATACAAAAAACGCATCCACCTACAAAATGCGCACAAAAAATAAAGCCCCAACATATGGCATTGCAAGTTCATTGCGATACTACAAAACAGTGCAGTATTTCATTTAGCACTTAAGTGAAACTCAAACTTGGCATAAAACCAATATCGAAAATTAAGAGTGAGTGTCATAATACTTTTCATAACAACCATTTGCTCAGACCTATGCGCAGCTAGTGTAAATACACAAATACATACATGGGTAAATTCTTGGGACCTAATAATAATATGGCAAAGAAACCTTGTAGATTGCTTATAATTGATAATTTACTGCTACAGTTAACTACCTACTTACTAGTAGCCAGATGTATCATCCAAACCATAACAAAAATACTTACTCAGCTGTGTGTTGATGCCGTGTTCATGTATTGCCTTCTCTCCGAGTGCTCTGTTTGTTCAGTTGACACTGAACTATGTCTCTATGTCTCTCTCCAGACAACTTCCTAGTCGACTACTAAAAGCTGCCTATACAGGTGAGGTTTGCAGTGTCGGGGAACCACCTGTCTCACCACTCCCAACTTTGAACATATGCACACATGAACACACTCTTAGGTATATTTTTTTTCCTGCACAACAGGTTTCTTTGTTGGCATGCTGGTAAGCATTCCAAGATGGGGTGGAGGAGGAGTATCCTGGGGCACATGTGAATCATTCTACCATAGTTTTATCTGCCACACCCATGAAGTTGTCAAAACTCATGGATGTCTGTCAAATTAGCTGTGCTTCTGAGTTTTCAGTCGTCAAGGTTAGTAACTGGTAAAATATGCCCATAAATATTGTGATGTGCTGCAGCTGTTATCCTGAGGCACGACTGAGGGCAGGTCCCAGACAGACATGACAAGTTTACAGTGTCATTAGGGCCTTCCTCTGCTTTTGTTGTGTGTCAGATATGAATTCACAAAATAGTTTCTTTGCAGTTCCTAAATAGTGTATAAAACCTCTTAAGCATCAAGCTTCAATTCTCCAGAATCTGGGACTTAAATTCTATAAAATGTTCTAAAATCACAGCCATTGAATTAATTAATTAATTTGAGCAATTACAGGCAGATAACAAACCTCATTATAAAATTTGCCTTACCGTTACACTTCACAAGTAATGATTTACAGTACGAAGCAGAGGTGAATTAGTAATCAATCAATCATCAAACCACATGGAACTGACCAGTGTCTTTCAGCATATATTAAGGCTGATACCAGTTAAGTGGTTAAGGTGCAGTGTTATAGATTTGGACAAATAAGCACCTACACCTTGAGCTCATGGTGAGAAAATAAATTCACTGGTACAAGGATTACAATAAACCATTAACTGTTTGAAAACATTGAATCATACATGGTTGTCCTTGGTTTATTGGAAGAGCTTGTCAATGTGACGATCACACATGTGGCTAGTGGCTTCTGCATCTCGACTGTCTGCTGTTAATACGCAGTCAAATGTGTCATCAGCCAGGATGCATGTATCATAGGTGCTGTGGAAATGATATTCACATTATATTTAAGTAGAAAGCTAAGAGAATGTTTATTAGTGAAGCACTGGTACCAATTCTAATGAAGAACAGTTGCATACTTTAGTGTTTAAATATTTATTTTAATCAACCAACCAATAAACTGATATATTCAAGTAAACTTACATACTTGCAATTAGCACAAAAATAAAAGTGCAAACAAATATTCAAATATTCAAAAAATATATTATTGAAATATTATTTTCAAACAAAAATATATTTGACTATTATCTATATGTAAACTAACCTAAAGTGTCTTTTGGCATATCAGAACACGCTGTGTATGGCCAGTGGGTTCTTCATCATCATCACTCACAGCCCAGGCATCACATAAGAAATGTTTTCCAGAGTGGAGGCCTTAAAAAACAACAAAAAAAACAAAACAACTTTCCTACTTAAGTCATAAAACCCTGGCAGAAAAATCTTGTCACTTGTGCATATGTACAACTTGTGGACAAAATGCTGTGTCTGTGTGCAAGTGCCAGTGTCTCTCACCAGTGTGTGTTCTGTGCAGCTCCTGAGCTCTGGTATCTGTGCAGTGAGGCAGATCAGAGGAGCCAGGGCACACAGCAGAGAGTCCAAGAGCAGAGACAAGCTGCTGGACATGGACACCATTTTCTGCAGAGACAAACAGAGACGCCAAAGATTCTTTAATGCAGTCAATATGGTGCATGTTCTCCAGAGGCTCAATGAAACACACCCTTCCTGATCCTGTACTCAGCTAGGCTTTGGACAGAAGGACGTAGCAAAAACACATGACAAATCACAACAACTACAACAACAAATCACACAAACACATCAAAATGTCTTTCCAAAATACTTTTTCTACAAATCAGTGTTGTTCTATTTTTAAATCTAAGCGAAAACAACTCTGAATATATTCACATCCTACAGTTACATGAATATTGTAATATAAACAACATATTTCTGTAGTTTCCTCATCTTTCTTCCATAAGTATCAATATGTAAAAACAGTTCAACACATTCTTTGATTTTTATATTTATATATTTTTTGACTACACATAATAAATTCTCTCAAACTATTTTAAAAAGCCTGAGTAAAGAGCAGTTTACTACACTTGGTGCAGGAACAATGTCTGATCAACCCAAAATAAACATTTTCAGAAGCTGTTCACTGTTTGTGATTTCATTTGGCGTTTATTTGTACTGTATGTAAACTAAGTGCAAAAGAAAACAAGATCAAGTGAAAGAAGAGGTCGGTAAAGATGAAAACCATGTAGTACTGTGGGTTCATGAAGCAACACTTGGGGTTACATCATGATTTGAAAGATTCAAAGTATGTCCATCCCATTATTAAGGCAAAGCAATACAAAATTTTGTTTTATGTTTTGTACTCACATCTGTCTCCTGAAGATGGTGTCCAATCAGGGACAAGGATTCCCCCAGGAGGTGTAGGTGAGCTGCAGCACTGACAGGACCCCTATCAGAGCAGCTGGGACTATCGGATGTGGATCTGAGAGTGTCCAAGGCTGAACCAGTGGGACTGCACATGGAATCAAAGGGACTACAGGTGTCAGTCACGGGGCTTGATACTGCTGGATTAACTTTAGCAGATTTTAACGGACAAGGCCTGTGGGTTACTGGAGTGACAGGAGGGCTGACAGGTCTGGTAATGGTACAGTCTGCTATGTTGTGCTGGTCATCTAGATATACTGAGTACTCCAGCATGGAGCTTGGACTTGCCTGGGAGAAACACAAAGGTAGAAAAAATGATGAGTAGTGGTGAAAGTAGAGAACACACTTGGAGGAAGTTTCAATGCGACTCAATGCTGCTCTCTGATGTGCAACATGAATGCAACAGGTTGTCGTGAATATCCTGGGAGACAGTTTACACATTAGTCCTGAGACTAGAAGGGAAAACGTGAAATCACAGGCAGCTCTATGTATCCTTATCGATGAAGAGTTCTAACAGGTGAGGGTTTGTATTTTTGGGTAAAGTTTTAACAAACAAAGTTTTGTCAAGGCCTCTTTGATTATCACATTTTTATTGATTTTCTTACAATTTAAAAATATATTTACTCCCATGTTCTTACGTCTTGTCCGTTCTCTCACCTCTTCCCCTCCTCCACCTCTCTCTCCCCATCTGTCGTGTGACATACAGACTGGATAGGCAGACAGGAAGCCCGAGGACTCTGCTGCATTAAGTTCAGGCTCAGTTCCACTATTACCTGCACTTAAGGAGATCATTGTGAGACAATAGAAAGTTGTCCTTTATCAATAGCTTCATTTGTTTTTGGTATAATTCACAAGATAAGACAAAACCTGACATGAAGATCTAGTTATTTTATCTGCAGGTTATTTATAACATTACATTCATTGTGATAAAACATTTTGTCTGCAATGTGTCATGTATTTTATTATTATATAACTGTTTGACATTGTTTTCCCATTATAAATGTCCTCATCTGATGAAATGTCCCCTTTCTGCACCATTAGACACTGTAGTCACATGATTACTCTTAGCTGTTTTTAATAAAACACACACACACACACACACACACACACACACTAAAAGTTTACTCCTTACCAAGCTGTTGTCCCATCTTGCTGAGTGAGCATTTTGGTTCCTGAAAAAGTTAATTAATGACTGATGACATTTGAGGTAATTCACAATACAAAACTAATGTTTTGCCCACATCAGCAATGGTACCATACTAAAATCATTGTAATAGTGTTTTAAAATACATTTATGCCATAACAAAATCTCAGAGAGCAAGAATCAGTGCAAAGAATTATTCACACCACTGCAATGAACTTTGACTTTTACAGTTTTATAGATAGCTGATGAAACAGCGTGTACCAATCTGCAGAGTATGAGCTCACACACAGCCATAAACTTGCAAAAGGCTGCCACAAAGCAGCACAGTTCAGATTTGAAATGTCTGCAGAAAAGGAGTGAAACAACTCTGCTACTGCAACAGAACATGTTACAATATCAATGCCACTGCATCAATAAGGTAGACTGTGTGTGTATTAAGATTTGATTCATTCACCCCTCCTCTCAGCTCAGTGGCGACATTCAGTTACAGCTGAAAGATAATTTCACCTTGGTGCCACATTCCTCAGAATCCAACGCTGGTTCCTCCAGGCCCCCCACATCCATCCAAAAGTATCTGTCAGACCTTTTCTTCTCTCTCAAGTTGCATCCACTCACTAGGCCTGTTTCACCATCCGTCTATACAGCCAGCAGAGAGAGGGAGAGGGATTCAGAAACCAGCAATATTGAGAATAATATAGAAGGAAAGAATGAGCTCCAGATGAGACTAAGTGGAGCTGCAGTGATACGCTGATTAGCTGAAATAGTTGCACACCTAAATAAAAATAATTCATTTAAAGTGTAAGTCCAATATTTTATATTATTTTGATGCTATGTGTAATCATATTTAAATATATGTTGTTGACATTTAGGCCAAAAATGAGAGCTAACAAAATGTATTCTGCTAAAAGGTGTATGAGTTTAACTTGGCCTGCTGGCCGAAAGTATGGTACTGTGCCAGTGACTAAATCATTACCTGTCAATTTCACCTGACTTTACAATCTGATTGTGGTTTGTCATTGCAAGCAAAAATGACAGGAAACAGATAAAGGTGCAGTGTTGCCAGATTAGATGGGTGTGTGCAGCAGCCTCTCTTTAATTGGGCAAATAGCTATCATTAGGGCAACTTCCACCTAGGAAAGGTTTGGTTATATTCCTGAGGTTTTCAAACTGAGAGAGAGAGACTTGCAGGAGGTTGCAGAGGGAGAGACATGAGGCAAAGATACTGTGTGAGGTGAAAGTGAAAGATAGCTTGGCTTAATTATCAACAGGATCAACAGCATCAGCGACACACAGCAAATGGAGTCAATAAGTCCCACTAACCCTCAGTGCCTGATGGCCACAGTTTGAGTCAATGCGCTGTCAAATCCAAACACAGAGACACGATGTATATAAGTTCAGATTCAGTGTGACTTGCACCTTCCAGTGGTGTCATGATTTCTGTCCATAAATGCACGTAGAAATCATAGAAAATGAGATGCTTCATAACTTGCCTGAGAATCATCAGGTTTTAAAGTTTTCTTCAGTGTCTAAATAATCCAGTGATTATTAACCTGTACACCCAGAGACTCACTGAAAACAATAGCTAACTGATAATAGCGTACTGATATTCCAAAAAGTAAACAAATATACGACGACTGGACGGGTTATAGACGCAGACTGAGCTTTTTCTCAGTCAAATGTCTGGCAACACTGGCTATAAGTGCTTGGTAACTTTTAAAATTACTGCTTTAACTTATACTGGAGTGAACTCGGGACTTGGAACATCTTTTATCTAAAACAAATGAAAACAAAGGATGTGAGTTGAGAGCAAGCTGTTCGTGCCGCCATATTTCAGGTTCAAAGTTTTGTCATCGACGTTTTCAGGTTTCAGCTGTTACGGCCACAGTCATCAACAGTGCGACAGAAACTTCCGTAAAATTCAAGAAACATTTCGTGCAGGGTTTATCAGTCGACTGAACAACGAAAGAAATTGTAGACAACAACTTGTGATAAAAACCTCAAACCGGGCCATCTTTTTTCGCCGCTAGCCTCGGGTAAACTCACGGTAGATTCAACTTCATGTCGGTCACGTAGCTGAACAGTGTATGAGAAACTGCTGATTCACGGTTAGTACTTGGCTTTCCCCCCCGCGCCCTGCTTCCTGCTGAGTCATGTTAGACTGGAGCCAGCGGTACCTAATAGGATGCGTAGCTGCAGCTGGCTGAGCAGATTCATGTTTGTGAGCTCTGCAGCTCTAGGTGGCACAATTTTCAAATAACATAACTCCTGAATTTGTGTTTTTGATCTTTATATATTATATATTTATATATTTATATATTATGCAATTTTTCGCAGGCCTTCACTCTATGACCAAAGTATGCATGTCCTTATACTTTTGTACCTTATTTCTAGTTTTCAGTGATATTCTAGTCAAATCAGTTTTTATTTATCCAAGAAATTACAAATCACAAATTTGACTATTATGGTTTTTACAATGATTGCAGGATATAACACCCCCAATCATTAGACCTTTGACATTATTGTCTTTCTTGTTTGAACATGACATGCACCTGTTCTCAAAGGGAGATCCTTAATGAAATGGTTTTCATAAGAAATTTGACTTGCCTGCTCATAGCTCTGACCTCAACCCCATCAACCACCTTTGGGATAAATTTCAGGAACCTCTTATCAACCCAACATCATTTCACTGATGCTCCTATGGCTGAATGGGAGCAAATCTCTGCAACCAGATTCCAAAATCTTGTTGAGAGTCATTATATTAATGCTCATGGTTTTGGGATGAGATGATTGCACAGGGGTGTAATGTTCAGGTGCCCACGTACTTTCACTCATGTAATATAAGTTCTCTTACAGCAGTACTAAATTGCAGGTAGTCATTACGATGCTGTTCAGCATGTCACAGTCACATAAGACTGTCAGATTAAACGTCCAGACAGTGAAGTACACTACGTGATTTCAGGGTCATTTCCAGGCCTTTATTTTGTCTCACCTTCACTATTGTAACTCCTCCTCCATATTCACATTAGCAAAACATCCCTTGTTGCTTACAAGTGGCCTGAAATATTGCCACTAAGATTTTGAACTGGCTTCAAATCAAATTCAGAATTCAATTCAAAGTCGGCTTTAGAACTAAAGGAAACTGTCCTTTTTTTGTTGCTCCTTAAATTTAAAAATCCCTCCCTTTGGACTGAAGATCTGTGGACAGCTTTAAAAAGCAGCTCAAGATTCACCTGTTCAGATTTGTGTAATTTCCTAAAATGTATTTTCTAAAATGTATCTATTTTTATTTATATATAGCCTATTTTATGGTGTTTTTATTCTTAGTTAATCTATATTTCATGCCTGTTGCCTCATTTTATTTTTATTGTGAAGCACTTAGTGGTATTCTTCTTGAAAGTTGCAACATAAATACTCTTCTCTTACTTCAAAAAGATTATAGATGCTTTTTTTTTTTTTTTTTTAAATCTGAGCTGTCTGTGTAATTGTTCTGTCACTGAGTAATTTGTATCATCTCTGGATAGATAAAACAAGTATGGGCAAAATTATAGGAAAGCAACATATTTGATCACATCCTTTATCCTCCACGGCTTGACATTACACTGCCCATACCAATTCCTGCATACTTTCTATGTGTTGCCTCAAGCTCTACTGAAACTTTCTTTTATCATATGAATGTTGACAGCCTTATCAGTAAAATAGTAATGTGCTTAAGCTTGTTTCTTAGGAACTGAAAATGTTTTTCTTGATACAATCATTTGATTATTCTCTATGGTTAGTCACTGTTTCAACACCTCCTCCTTCTCCAGCTTCAGAAACTCACACTGTCATGTTTAGAGCCGGCTCCTCCTCTCCTCTGGTTCAACTTTGGAATTCCACTACTGCACTGTCATGTTTAGCCCTCCTCCCTATAGTTTTTCCGGGGTATGACTAAAACTTCTTTACTCATGCTAAGTCCCCTTTAGTCCCTCCCTCAGCACTTTTCCAAGCTCTGCTGAGAGTTGCTGCATCATGTTAACTCTCAGTCCCTCCTACCATTTTTGCTGAAGTTGCCAGATCATGTTTAGCTGAGGTTTGTGACAGTTCCTGTTTTCATTCTGCTGCTGGAGGGAGGAGACAAAGGAGGACCGTATAAAAGAGGGAGAAGACTGTACCATAGACACACAAAGCAGAGCACAAACTGTACTGGACATCCAGGGAGGAAACAGTGAATTACTGTGGACACAGACCAAACTACCAAACCTAACGGACTTCATCCTAACTGGTGAGTAAAACACAATATTTACATTGCTGTTTTTTGTCATACTTTGAATGTCATAACCTCATGTTGATGTTTCTTACCTCTTGAATCACTGTATTGTGTTGATAATTATGCTAGAAGATGGTGTTTGGTGTATAAATCTATATTTCTGTCATTTTAATTTTTTTCAGACACAATGGAGACAGAGAAGAAGACTCAGACAACAGCAGAACAGATGACAGACAGGTAGGAATGACCTGCTGTGATTTACTGTCTCCAAATCCTCTTTCCATTAACTCAATCATATTTCACCAGGAGATAAATACTCATCTGTGACATGGTCCTAGAATCCATAGTGTTAAACAACATGTCTTGCACTAGATTTTGTTGATCATGTTTGCATTACTGCTGCAGCATCCAAATGTAGGTCTCTAGTGTGTGTGCAGACTTTCTGTTTGTGCATGTGGAGTTTTATCAGCTGCACATTGCCTACATTAGATAAACATCTAGGTGCACTGATTCATACAGTGTAATTACATAATGTAACTGTACTTTGTACCCTTCACTGCACTATAATAACCGTAGTGAATCATTACTGTGGTCAGAAAGTACCTATTTTCAATACATTAAAAGTTGAGCTTTCTGTACTGATTGCAATTCATTTCCTCTTGCAGGGATCTGTCTGAACAAATCAAAAAGGTGACTAAAGAGAGTCACGTCAGGGCAGAAAACACAGAACTGATGATGAGCTTCCAGAAGGGACAAGTCACCCTCACACAGTATAAGGTAACACATTGCAATAAAAACTCAAATGTTTAGATTATTTTTACTTTTTACCTTTACCTCTGGGAGTCAGTCTAGGGGATACTGGGGTCCAGTGGCTATTGGTGTGACACCACCTCTCCTCTTTCTCCTCTTCAGCTCCTCCTGTGCTCGCTGCACGAGATCTACCAGGCCTTGGAGGAACAGATGGACAGGAACTCAGACCACCCCAGTGTCGCACCCATTTACTTCCCCACTGAACTGGCGAGGCTGGAGTTCATCGAGAAGGACCTGGAATTCTTCTACGGCCAGGACTGGAGAGAGAAGATTGTTGTTCCTGCAGCCACTAAAAGATACTCCCACAGACTCAGACAGGTATATTACAGATACTTGTTTCATTCATATTTAAACACACCTCTGTTTGTCTGCTAGGTGATGCGGAAATAACACAATTTCATGCCGGATTTTTTTTTTAGATTGGTAAGGAAAACCCTGAATTTCTGGTTGCCCACGCTTACACCCGGTACCTGGGTGACCTGTCAGGAGGGCAGGTCCTGGGTCGAATCGCCCAGAAGTCCATGGGGCTTAAGAGCAACGAGGGTCTGTCGTTCTTCGCCTTCCCTGGAGTCTCCAGCCCCAACCTGTTCAAACAGCTCTACCGCAGCCGGATGAACAGCGTGGAGCTGACGGAGGAGGAGAGGAACGGCGTGCTGGAGGAGGCCGTCAGAGCCTTCGAGTTTAACATTCAGGTGAGGAGGAGTGACGGTTAAACAGAGCGAGAAACCTGAAAACAGAAACTTCACTTTAAGGACATCTTTACCTTATGAGTTAACCTCTTTCCTTCCAATTGTTTATGAAGTTACAAGTAGCTGATGGACATTCTTGCCTTTGTTTTTCAGGTCTTTGATGACTTACAGAAGCTGGTGAGTGTCACTGAAAACCAGCTGCAGAATACTTCAACATATTCCAAACAAGTAAAGACACTCCATATCCCTGGAACCATTATCAACACTTCTCCACTGCTCAGGATGGTCCTGGGACTCTTTGTGGCTCTGGCTACTGTCAGTATGGGAATCTATGCCTTTTAGAGACGAAACACAACAGTAAATACTATATATTGGACTGATGCTGTGAAGACTTTAAGATCTATGCTTTTGTACTGTAAGACAATTAAAAAGCCTTATCTGATCATAGGAAGATTTTAACAAAATACTGACTGATATTCTTATAATCAAACTGAGAACCACATTCATATGTACATTCAGTGTAATGGCTTTTTAATTCTACAATTTTCTCTGTAAAACTGAAACGAAAAACATACATTAAAATGTGAAATATGTGTGCTTTTAATACTGTAAATATGTTATTTTTTTAATAAAATATTTTGTTGAAAGAAAATACTCTTTCTCTTGTGGTTTTGTGAGGTGTTTGTCTGTGCTTAAGTTGGCACTGTTCATGCAAGCTATTTTCATGTAATGGGTATGACACTGCTGATGTTCACAGTCCAGCTGGTTGACATTTCCACTAATGTTTTGGCATCTGACCATGTGCCTGCTGTTCATCTGGCCTTTGGACTTGGATTGCATAATCAATGAACACAATTGCTGGTAAACTACTACACGCAGTTATTTTTGCCCTGTTTTTATCAGGCAAGCACCTTCAGAAATGAGCACTGGTACTAATGATTATATTCATTATTGGTTAATTTCTTAATTACCCCTTCTATCAATCTTTTGTTTTTTTGTTTGATAAAAAAAAGACAATCAATAATCAAAATCCAATATATGTTTATGTTCTGTCAGTCCACTCGCTGAGAAATTGTTTCACCTGAAACAGAAAAAAAGAAATATGTGATGGTGCCAGGGAGCAACTTTTGTCAATATTTGTAAAGACTTGCACTTTATTCCCCATGGACTCAACTACTACACTATCCAGGACTGAACTATAAACTAAATAGCCTCTGTCAATTTTTCATGTTTCCCACCGTACAGGGAGTTGGTACGAACAAGTTGTTAGGAACGATAAATCACCATCATCATTTCATTGAACAAATTTGGAAACTAGAGTCATTAAACAGTGTTCCAGCTGTTGTATGATTCAATCTTGTCACAGCCAATTTATCCTTGTGTTCATATAAGTTATAGGAACTATGACTTACCCAAATGAAACAAAAGCATGCTATTGTGCCACAGTGACCTCTTCAGCTTGTATGTGAATTTAAGAATCAGCACCTCATACGCCAGTAAAATTTGGTATCCACTTTTATTGTGTTTTCAGGATTTTCGTAAATCCTGTGCACTGGTGGCACACATTATAAATTAAAACACAAAATGATTGTTAACAGCAGCCAGAGAAAACGTTTGGCTTCATCCTAGGCCTATTTGACAGCGACACAAATCAGTACAATGCTGGTATCTGTCTCCCTCTAGAGGACGACTATGAGAAAAACAAGTTATGTCAGAAATGACTGTACTTCACTGGAATTGGCTCACCCCAACCTTTAAAGGCACAGCAGCCCAAGTAAATCAGAAATGTCCTCTTCTCGTCACTTATACTGTCCAAATCTTTAAGAGCTGAAATAATGCTACATTCAAAATACATTCCTTTCTACTGCTGTAGCTTCTGACTCACCATTTAACTTGTGCTATACATTATGAAGTCAGTATCAGAGAGTACATGTCTAATACAAAAATATCAGAAATTTGTTTGACCAGACCCAGAAGCTCTGGAAATGCATCACTTGCTTTAAGAAGGCCATCAACACAAAACAAAATCCATCAGCTTCAAAATAGAAAAAGAGAGGTAACTACAACACGGTTTACAACGGACAGGGTTAATTCACAATGCTACCTCGACGTGCCCCCCCCCCCCCCCCGCTCCCCCCCGCCACAACAACAACACACACACACACCCCCCTATGAAATCTATAAGCTACAGAGTGCTAGATGAGGGTTATCCCAAGGTGCTTAAGAGGGACTGCACAGCATATCTCGTCTTTGTAAATGTCAGTGACAGTAAACACTGAAAAGGACACACTCAGGACTGATTTTTTAAAACAAAACAAAGAGCACAAACCTGAGGCAAAGCAAAGGAGAGGATCCATAATGTAGAAAGGCAAAAAAACAGATCCACATCTACAAAAGCAGCTTCAAAGCAAAATGTTACAGACAACAAACCCTAGTCACATAACATAGACTCAATCTTCCGATATCTTCAAAAGCTGAATGATGATGATTCTCATGAATGATCTTGGGACCTCTTAGCATATCTCTGTTCATTAAAATGTAGTTATTAATTATAATGTAGTTAACGTTATTTTTCTGTGTGTTGATGATTGCAATTCAGTAGAGAGGCCTGTGTTTTTGTGACATTCAAGGCCATGAGTTCATTTGAAAAACACAGTAGCTTCCATGTTTTCACTGTCTGACAGTTAATGCTGTGTACTAGACCAAGACAAATTTCCTGCATTTTCTCCTTTGATATAACATATTGCACATTATGCCTTAAAAGGGGAAGTAAATGACATTTGTGACATACATTAAATTGCCATAAAAATCAACAAATTAAAGTTGACTGTCAGTCATACAAAAGTGAAATTACTTTGCAGTAATATTTTGCTACTTGTTCAGCTTTTCGTATTCTTCATCTAGCTTGATTTGGCACACTGTCCTACTTTTAAAGGCAAATAGTCAGACCTAAGCAATGTACTGTAGGACACAGTTTTCAAAATGTGACTGCACCCTAAAACACCCTCAACACGTCTGCATGATGCCACATCATCTTGGCTACCTGTCTGAACAGCTAGGACAGATTTGGTTAAAAAAAGGTGCATTAACTTTTAGGCAGGAGCCACCACCTGGGGCTGCTCAGTTGGTTTCGTAGGTGGACAGCAAGGCTGCATCTACCGGCTCCATGCAGGAGGGGCAGGTGAAGGAGCGCATCAACCAGGGGTCAATGCAATCCACATGGTAGATGTGAAGACAAGGCAAGAACCGAATGGGATCGCCGTACTCAAAATCCATCATGCAGATCACACACCTGTTGAAGAGAGTATCTCATAATCATTCTTATTCATCTTCAAACCTGAAGAAAATTTGCTTATGTCAGATTAATCACTTTTACAGATTTTCAAACAGAATACAATAAAACTTAAAGTTAAACGTTAAAAATGAACATATCTCCACTAAAAAACAGCAAGTATAACTACTATTTTTGTGTCAGAATAATTTCAGAAATCATTATTTTTATAACAATAAATTAAGCAAATAATTATAATACAATACAAAAATAAAACAAATTAAGTGACGGGTTTTGTTTGTATAAGACTCACTCTTTAACTTTCTTGTCAGAGGGGTCGGAGCCCGGGTCGAAGATGCCTCTGGGCAGGTGGTGGATGAGACCGATGCGCTGGGCAATGCGGATTTGCTCCTCCTCAGTCAGCTGGCTGGCCAAACGACTCTCACCTGGGGTGGGATGGTATACCGGCACTGGTTGGGTGCGCTCCTGGAAAAAAAAGGAGCAGAGGAGAGATTGTGTCATTTATAAAGCAAATTCTCTTGGAAGGGGGATTTTACATATACAGGAGAACATGGAGTCCTACAACAGATCGTCTGGCCCCCACAGGTCAGTGTGGGATTACATGAAGAGACAGAAGACATTGAAACCGCCTAAATGCACAGAAAAAACTTAGGTTGCTTGGAACAACCTACCTGCCATTTACCTTGAAAAACTGTGCACAAGTGTGAGTAAGAATACTGGCGCTGTTTTAAATACAATGGGTGTCACACCAAAAATTTATAAAATTTAGGTTTTTCCTATGTTTACATCACTTTTTTGAAGTGATTTGATAAGTAAAAACTATTCTTGGCATGATTTTTGAAAACATCCTAACTTTCACTTTTGCAGTGCTGTATGTGAATGTTCTTTTTGCATTAGAGGCTGACAGATACTAGATTTCTGACATTGATATTAATATTGATATTTGTCAAACTGATCATGTCTGTTTGGTGAGTAAAGTAATTTGGAGGACACCACAATGCTCCTGTGCTTTTGTCAACACTAGGAGAATGGCCAACTTAGTAGTGATGGATGATATAAACACAATGTTGTTTAGTCTTGGTATTGTCTGGGATTTTGGTTGTCAGAATATTTTAAGATGTATTTTATTTGATGACTGCATTACACTTGGTTAGGTCCAGTTTTCTTACTGTGCAGCACCGTGGGACAATGTTTTCCTAACATAGCTAATTAATTTTTTCTTGACCCATGTTTACACACTTCATGTTGCTCTACAGTATCCAGTTGCCAAATATAATACTCCCCATCACTGATTAGTAGATTTTATGGTAATGGCTTATTAAAATTAATGAGGTGACATGCTCTTAAATCCCCGGAGTGTTTTTAACTTGAGCCCCGGACTGCTCACCTGGTAGGGCGGCGGAGGCTCTCCGGGCAGACTGCCTCCCTCGGACTCGTTCAGCAGCGACAGGTCATCCGCACCTTGCGAAAACAGACAGTTCCCCATTGAACTGAGGCCACCATGAGAGGGTCCGCTTCTTTCCGAGGCCGAGAGACACTTAGCAAAGTGTCAACTGGAGCTAAGCTAACCAGCTGCTGTCTGAACGATTTGGCTTGGCGTTAGCTTAGCTAGCTGTTAGCTGATAGTTTGTTGACATGCCGTGAAGAGCTGGACGGAGAAGAGTCAGGAGAAGCGACGTCGCTCACTCGTCCAATGCTCGAGTTACACGGTTGTTGGTACAATATCCGGTGACATAGATTTTAACTGTAACAATGAAGAGATTTGTGTTTTGGCTTCTTGTTTTTACAAAGAAAAACACAGACCGGAAACACCGTCATCAGGAAAATTGTATATTCTCAGACGTTCAAAATAAAAGCGGAGACCTTTAAAATGTAAAAGTTGTTTTTAAGTACTAATGTGCGCCCTCAGGGGGAATATGACTGCCGAAAAGATTGAGTCAAAAGATCATTTGTTTTATAACTGTATACAGTACAACATTTTGGGAGGATGTTTATTACTTAATATTAAGTTTGAGATAAAGCATGGGTTAAGACAGGTGTTTAACATATAATGCAGTTTTTGTCTCTTGGAAACCAAATTCAACGTTTGTGATGCTGATAGTTTTAATCTGAAGTATTGTAACTGGATGTACTAAAAGTTTCAGTAAAGAGAAAGTTTCAGCAGCCTCCACAGTCTGAAACACAAAATCCCCTTAGATACGATTTCCATTTAATGACATGCTTTGAGACCAATCTGTTCAGCTTGTTCTAAGTCTCCACTAATTGTTGTTATAATTATGTTCTTTTGTATGACAGGGTAACCCATTAAAGTTCTACAGTTGATCTGTGTTAAAGCTTTTACACGACAGTTTGGATAGGCTACATCTCCGATGTAAGGCATGCCATCATATAACTTTGCAAATGTATATAAATCAGCTGATAAGTCTTGATTGCTGGAACTGTCCCTCTCAGACTACATGAATAAATAAATTGAAAACATGGACCCATAGTTAAAATACACCGGAAGAGGAAAGAAATACAAGACAATAGGTTTCATTGTTGATCTGTCAAATATTTAGACAATCAAGGCTTCACATGCAAATTACCTCTGGTTTTCGTGTCACTAAAAGAATTAGAGGGGATCAGGCATTTCACACCATGCCCTGCAGGAATGCATGGTTTACAGCCAGTGGAGAGAAGCTGCGGCCTAGCAGCATGGATATATACATCAATAACTAGCAGCCACCGTGGCCGTGATCTCGTGAGATCACCGTTGTCTTCCGCGGGGGTGTCTCTTCTTGCGCCAGACACACATGGACATATAATATGAACGAATATTGCTATTGCGTATGTGATTAACGGGGGCGGGTCACACCGCACGTGGGTGGTTACTTGTAGCTTAACGTGCGAATACACTGTACTGTTATCCTTTCGGTGGGCATACATTTTCTGTTTTGGGCCGATCTGTTTGTGATCTGTCCTACTCCATTTCCGTTGTTTTTGCCTGAGGAGAGACTTGAAAGGGCTGAGAGATGGTAAGAGGAAGAGATGACTCATACCTTACAATACAAATACAAAACACAAAACAAAGTTATGGTGACGTGTTTGATATAGTTCATTGTATTTTATTTGTGTCATACTTAAGATAGATAGTTAATTCCTGCAGTGGTGGACTGAGTCTGTTAAATTCTGTATTGAAGTTGACAAAGTAATTTCCCACATAGCAAATATTATTTGGCCCGGATCCAGCCCGGAGCCTACATAAAATCTGGGCCATATCCGCACAACGGACCTTGGCCGGTGTCTTTTGCACAACGGGCCAGTACCGGCGCATATCCGTTTTTTCAATCTGGGCCAGAACAGGCCCATATCTGTACTGGATCTGACCTAAATGATCTGTACTGGATCCGGCCCAGATCCATATTGGATGGATTGAGATCCATATGGGATCTGGTCCAGACTTGAGTCAGATCGGGGGAAGTCTGGTCCAGGTCTACTGGATCCAGCACGGCTCATTGTGTATGCTTTTGACTTGAATATGGATTTGATAATTAGTCAATATTACTACTGAATCAAAGGGTAGTAGCATACATTTCAAGTTTCGTCACATATACATTATGAGGAAATTACATTTCTTGTTTTCTGAAGCCACTAATACTCAGATGATTATCATTAATAATTTTTCCTGAAATATTACAGAGGATGACTACTGTATCTCCAGTGATAGCAATGGCCCTGAGTACTAAATACTTATTTGGTTTAGAATATGGACACAACCTCAGTATCATATATCAGTTTTCCAGAAAGATTTGCTGTCAGACCGAGGCTAGGGGAAAGGAGCCTAGCTTGAATACAAGGTGGGGATTTGTGTATTCTCTAATGTCACTCTTCATACATTTAGGACACAGCTCCAACACCACCACCACCACCACCACCATCATCACTGCCGCTGCCAGGAAACCTGGCTCAAAAAAAACATCCTAAACCACAGCCTCAGTTCGCTGCAATACCTTTTACCGGGCACTCTCCCACCCTGGAGTCAAATCCCTCACCAGAGGCTCTCCATGATGCTCAGGTAAGTGTCTCCTCCACCATTTAATGTTAATGTTGTTGTGAGACCCTTAAAAGATCTTATTGTGAAACCCTTTCCATATTCAGGGTGAAGAAAATCCACCACTCTTCCAAGTGCAAAATGGACCCTTTTCTACACCATCTGAAGAACAGGAAGACAATGATTCTGACACAAAAGAGAAACACATTCCAGTGCAGGAAACTAACCCGGCACCACAGGCACTTCATGGCACACTGGTAGATTATCTTTAAGTAGATATGTTCTTTTTTTCCTTATCATATAAAACATAAAAAACAACTGTTGATTTTCTTATTCTAGATGACAGAGCAGCAAGATGAACAAGCCACTCAGATGGAGCCAGCTGAAGAGGACCAACAGGCCTGAAGCACTTTAGTTACGAGAAAACAAAGATCTACATTTAAGAGTACTTGAAAAAAGCTGTTCTCAATTTAACTTGAAGCACTTCTACGTGGTATAAGTTAGATAGCACACTGCTTTATGTTCTGGCCAAAGATGTTTGAATGTTATTTCAGCCTTCAATCATCATCATCCTCATCACTTGCAGCTGAATTGAAATTCATATTTATATATATATACATGCATATATTCATACTTTATAGTGTCTTTGAGAAACTTTGAACTGAAATGAGCTTCAGAAGACTAAGTAAAAGCACTTTGAGTGTACATAGTTGCCCCTATTTATTATTTAAAGGTAAACTTGACAGATTTTAGACAAAAAGGTTTGACTGAAAAACATGTAATGTAATTTATTTCTGGCTCATGTGCTACAAACCTGTGGTGTGAAGTTTGAAAGGAAAGGACATGTATCAGGCAGGGATATTGGCTGAACTAAGGTAATTGTTGGATTAAGTGTTTTGGAACTTGACCTGCTCAGGATTTCTGCAGTCTCAAATTAAAGCGTTTTTAATCTGTCTTTCATGAAATCCCCAATTAAAGTCTAACATGCTCACAATGACAACACTAACATGCTGATCTGTATTCCATGCTTCTTTGTCCCAAATTTAAGCAATCCATTCAATAGTTATTGAGACATTTCATTCAAAACTGAATGCTATCAATTGAGGAAAAGTCATTTCATTTTCACAGTATAAGAGAAAACCATAACCTGCTGGTCGTGCTAAATGAAAAGTAAGTGGATCACCAAAGTCAACAGAATTTGACCCATGGATATTTAGACAAGGTTTCATGGTGATCCATCCAGTAGTGGCTCAGATATTTGAATCTGGATCAAAAGTGTGATTGAATATCCCGGGATCCCATTTACCGTTATATTAAGACAACTAAACTGGCATTTGCTTATTAGCATGCTTATGCCTGCTATATCATGATTATTGCAGGACAGCATGCAGCTCCAGAGTTGATTCTTTATTTAAGCATCAGTCTATAGAAAAAAAGACATGGCACAGCAAGATGGTACAGTCAAGAACATCCTTTTTTATTCAATCAGGTGCTGCTCTTCTCAAACTGTGTTTTTCTTCTTATGGAAAAGAAACTGTAATTAACACATGCATTTCACCTAGAGCTCTGGGGGTGTTCTCACAAAGAAGTGGTGCTGCACTGAGGGTGTAGACAGAGGCGTAGAAGAGCTGGGAGTCAGGGGGCCTAGGGTGCTGCCTATTACACCAATAACCATACACGCTTAAGAAGATAAAGAACAAAATAAACAACAGAACAAAGACACGGAGCAGTCCAGCATGAGGTGGTCAGAGGAGAAAAATGGAGGGACTTCCTTGAATCCTCAAAAATCTGAGAGATCAGGTTCATGCTGGCCTTTTCAACTATCTGGTTGGTGTGTTGTAAATGGCTAATACTGCTGAGAGTTTCACTGTGTGAAACCTGCCGTGAACAATAATACTTCACTTTAAAAGATTGGTTTGAATGGATGTGGGGATATGTCCTGGAAATGCAACGCCCCCTCTTTCAGCCTCATGCAGGACAAGTCCGGTTATAAGGTGCTTGTAGCTTTCATTTACAGTCCAAGGCATCCTCAAGGGAGCCTAAACGACAGCATACCCTGATAGCAAATATTAAAAGAAATCCAAATTAAAAGGAAACAAAAAGTGGGGAATAAAACAAAGCCAAAAAATAAATAGCTAAAACAAAAGAGCAAACTCTTATCCTAGTCCAAGCAGCCCCTTTCCAACATCCCAAAGCAATTCATCCAGCCCTCTCGACCCCATTAATCTTCTCTGTAAACCTCTTCAACCCCAAACCCCTGAACCCCTGTCGTCCCTTCCTAACCCACCCAAGGACACCCCCAAAAGCCCGTCAGCGTAATTTGTTCACTTACATTAGCTGTTGAATGGAGAAGCTGAAGAAGATGGGTATGGTAATACAATGTGAAGCATACAGACAAGAATAACATGTGAGCTAACTGCATTCTGCTCAGACAAAAGTTTTTCGGCAATATTTTTTTTTTTCGCCCTCCCAACAGCGGAGAGGGCAGAGGAGAGAGAGAGAGAGAGAGAGAGAGAGAGAGAGAGAGAGACGGAGAGTGACAGACACACAGTTACAGACTACTCCAGTGTCTAAGAGAAAACAGACAGTGGAGACAGAGGGGAAGAAAAAAAGCAAGAGCTGAACGAGAACAAGTTTTTTTGCCTTTTCAAAAAAATTTTTTTTTGTCATCATTTATCAATAAAAAGTAAAGAACTAATTCACACCAGTTTCCTTTTGTACTATATATATATATATATACGGCTTTTGAAAAGGAAGAGAGGATATAGGGGAGGTACAATGGAGGGGATTCATTTTCAGCCGGAGAAAAAAGTTGTCCCTGAGCGCTGAATGGGCGACGACCTTTCTTTTCCCTCCTTGCAGCACTCAGGGGCAACCTGCTACCTCAAGCCATTTCGAAAAAAAGGGCGATCTGGATTACAAAATGGAGTCTGTGAACAAAAGGCACTTTTAAGGGACAACCTTTAACTGCTGGGAAACTATACACTACAGCACAAGCACTATAAGAGTCATTTACAGAGGAGGGGGTGGAACAGGGGAGAGGCTCACTTTGCTGCCTGTTTCATACATGGGTCAGACCTCATATTTTTGCCCGATTCTAAGCTGCTTTTTGCCCCTTTTTCTGTTGTTTCTGTTATCTGCACAGGAGACAGGAGGTCTTAACTTAAACACTCTTTCCACTTCAACTCAGGTGTCTCAACACAACCTGCTGAGCTCTATCCAGCTCTAGATTCAGAAAAAATATTAAGATGATCATGGGAATAAAAAGATTTGTGGATGTGAAGCATCTCCCACAGCACAGGGAACTTGTCATGTATTTATGCCAATGTGGGTGATAGAAATGAATTAAACTGGGAGGGTTTTTTTTGTTTGTTTTTGCTGGTGAGTTTCAGGCAGTGCATGGGTAAGTTATCTGAAGAGTTTCTTAGGCTTGACAGTATAGGTTTTTTTTTTTTTCTAAAGGTTGAACCAAAATGCCTTTTGTGTCACAACCTTAAGGAATAGGAACCTCTCCCCCCACTCAATACAAATAGAAGAAGAATACAAATAGAGAGAGGAATAATGCTGTTTCCTAAATGGTCTGTTATTTTTGTTCATTACCATTCATTTATAATAGTTCTGAATGTACTTTATAGTGTTAAAGCACCAGTTTTCATCTGATGATAGAGAATTTTTTTCTGAAGTTGTGTAGATTTTTTCCTTCAGCCCTCCCACATTTTTATAAACAAATGATTATACATAAAACATTAAAAAAGAGACAAAAGGAAATAAAAACAAATACCCCCAACTTACAAAGACTAGGATTTTTCATGGCCCTCGAGTTTAGAGTCCTGGAGCTTACGGACTTGAAACAAATACATTTTTTTTCTCTTTTCTCTTAGCTTTCTTAAAAATCTCTAACAGACAAACACAATGATCTACCCAATGCATTGCACGTGGCTCAATCGACACATATTTTTCAATAATAATACTTTCCATCAAAAAACAAACACTTTTTTTTCTTCAAACCTACTGTCGATTTTTGACATGTTCGTCTAGGTATTGTAATGCTGCGCTGCAGATGGCGATGGCGTGTGTCGTTTGATTCGTACTGGTAACAGTAAGGAGATGTTACTGAAACAGGTTGTGTGGGGGGTGGGGTGGGGGTGGTTGGTGTGGGGGGTGAGAGTTCAGAAAATAACTAGACTGCCAACAAGCTCATGTAGTAAAAGTTAAAAAGGAGCATATATCATAAATATATATGTATAAGATCTCTCTCTCTGTCTTTACAAAAAAAAGTTTGCAGTCCTCTATAAAGATCTGTCCTAGGCCAATGGTTTCCACATGCACCAACGCTACCATTCCCCGTAGCTTAGCTTATATGTGGGAAGAGAACCTGAAGTCAAGTTTATTACTAATTGCATGAAGGGAATACAGAGGCACTTTCATATATTGTTATAGTCTTGATATATGGTTTTAGTACATAGAGCTAATGTTACTAGAGAGGCTGAGAACAGGGTCTCAGCCCTGTTTACTATCCCTGCAAAATAGAACCAACAGCTAGGCAGTCCAGTTATTTTGTGAGGTCGGCTTTTGTTGGATTGTGTCATGATGAAAATAATACCAATAGCAATTTCAATGTGAACATTTACATAGAAAAAATACCTCAAATTAAAAAGACAAATCTTAAGTGAATGAAAAACCATTAACAAAGGCAGTTTGGAGAACCAAATATAAAGGCTTCCCTTTATTAGTTTATGTCAGGTTGTTGGTGGTGTTAGTGTAAATTTTTATGTGTGTGTGTGTGTGTGTGTGTGTGTGTGTGTGTGTGTGTGTGTGTGTGTGCGTGTGTGTGTGTATGTGTGTATTCCTCTGGGTTTTCCTGTGACTGGACTAAGGGATACAGGGTGAAGCAATGCAAGGGATGCATGTGATGAGCTGTTATACTGTGCTGTCTGTACGTGAGAGAGATTTGAGAAACTGCTCTTACTGTTTCGTTGAAATCTGTTTTGCTGAAATTCAAGCATGATTCTTAACGTATTACTGCAAACTAAAGAAAAAATGTTATGACATGCAAGAGAAGGTTAAAACAATCCAAGTGAGACAAAACCAAAACCAAATCCGGCAAAAAAAAAAGAAAAAAAAAATCGCAAGAAAACGCCTACAAACAAAATGAAAACTAATAATATGAAGCTGATGCTGATGCATTCCTGTAAATTAAAATCCATGTCTATGAATAATAACAAGATGATATTGTGAGTGGTTGTGTGACATACTATCCTGGTATGTACTGTATGCAAAGCGTACATGTGTGTGTTTGTGTGTGAGCATGTGCATATGTGTGCTGCTGCATGTTTCAGGGCCGAGACTTGAACGTCAGCGCAGCCACATTCCTGCAGTGGCAGCCAGCCTCGATTCACTTCTCTAATCGCTCATCTGACCATCGATGTGCAATACTGTTCATCCCTTATTAAAAATTAATAGTGCATAGGTGAGGGGACGAAAGAGCACATGTAGAGTTAGTGTTATGACTGTCTGTCGTGTGTTCACTCGCTCGCACTCGCCTCATGGCTATCACTTCTCCCACAGCAGGACGCCCTGATACTTTGACAGGTAAACAAAGACCAGCCACTTAGTGCATATATGTCACACCATCGGATGGTGTCACCATGATTGGCCAATCAGAAATGAAAGAGGCTCAGGGCTGAGCGAATGAAGCGGCAGAGTGTGGAGACACACAGGCGTGTGGCTGTGGTTTTTCAGTCTGGACCCTGAGCAGCACTGAGCGCTAGGTGAGGTGAGATGAGGTGAGGTGAGATGAGGTGGGGTGGGAGGGGATGTGGGCTGGGTGGAACCATGGACCTGGAGGAGAGGCGGGTGGAGAAATACATAGATATGGAGGCGTGCAGTCTGGGTGGAAATCTTTTCAACTTGCACATCCGACTTCATCGTTTACCACTATTTGTTCTTTTTGGATCTCCCAGCCAATGCATGGAGTTTCATTGTGGAGACAACAAAATGAAAAAAAAACATTAAAAAAAGAAACAACAAATGTATAATTGGTCATTTGTCAGGTTACCATATTGCGTTTCCTTTCTGACATTTCGTGGTGTGTGTGAGACAGTTCCTCATCTTCCTCTTCCTCCTCCTTGCATTCTGAGTCTGTCCACTCATTGAAGCCTCCTGGATAAAGGGGGACGAACGTTCCTGTTCAAATTGTGTTGGATTGGGAGTCCTCTTGGGGGCGGGGTGGGTTTTTTCGGGTTCTGTAGTAGTACTTTGAATAGTGTTGGCGAGAGAGAAAGACCTTTTTAGTGTCAGCAGTCTGTTCTTAATCAGCAGTGATGTGTTTGTTTTTCAAATTTCCAATTTTCATGACACAATTTTAGCTGTTGATTCAGAGAGGCCTTGTCAGAGGAACCAGGACTGTGGAGGAGAAGAGAAAAGAAAATGAGTCTTTAAACAACATCAGCAGATTTACATTTAGAGTCACTCTTGATTCTAATCAGTCTTGAGCTGCAGTTACGCAAGTTATTGTTATGAATGAAAGAAGTGGTGTCACATAACAGAGTATGAAAAAGTATAAAGTATGAACACAGATCAGCATCTTACAGTTAACTTTGAAGCGGTAGAATGGTATAAATCACTGACTCCTAACACTGGGGTAAGAACCTCCACAAGAGTTCATCTATAGTGATAAATAAAACAGGAACCAAAAAAAAAAACCTGTTGCTACACAAAATGTTGTTTCCCTCTTATCTTTTTACTGAATTACTGGATAATTTCTCCTCTTCAGGTGTCTAAAAATTTAAAATAAAAAAAATAAAAAATAAAAAAATGACAGTAACAAGGAGTCACAAGCAGACATTGATTAGTTTTAAGGGATCACAAGCATAACCAGTCGGGAACCACTAGGTGGCCACCTACTACTCCTTTTCTCTCTCTCACTTCTGTACTTGCTGAGCTCAGCTGTCCCATACAGTGTCGAAAAAGTTATTACCTCAACTTCACCACTTGCTGTTTTTAGGAGGGCTGACTCTGGCTTTTTACTCATTAAAAACACTTGTGTTATTTCAGCTACAAACAGCATTAGGGTAGCAGTTTTTGTATCCGTCTGAATGGCTTTCCAGTGAGCAAACACCAGACTGTAACTGCTCTGTCACGCGCTACCAGTTTACATGTAAGGCGATCCTCCTAATATGTCTCTGCTCTGTGGGCCCGAGTGGTCTCAGGCTACACTGTAAAGCTATTGAGGGCAGCTACTCCAGGGATCCAGTTTCTCAGTTTGATAAGAGGGCAGAGTGGAGGCTTTGGCACAGGCTGAGCTGTTCTGGCTGCCTCTGACATTCCACAGGCCTCGGACCAGGGAGAGCAGCGAATCACCCCATCTTTAACAGCAAACTCTCTGTTGTGCCCCCATTCTAGCAAACGGAGAGAAAGCTTTAACCCCCCTCAACCTCCATCTATCCTCCACCACCTCTGCCTCCCTCCTTCCTATCCATGATTCTTTCGTGTTTGTAGATAGCTCCTCCTCCTGGCTCCAACTTCCCTTAACCCGCTTCTCTTTTCCTCTCCCTCTCTTACTCCAGCTCTCCCAATGTAATCCTTGGCAGTGGAAAGTGACCCCCCCCCTCTCTCTCTAACCCCCCTTCAAGTCCAAGTTCAACTGCCTATGACATCATGTCTGGTTGCTGCGGGCAACCAGACAGCCGGGACGTGACTGTGGAGTGCAGCGAGCTTCAACTAACTCCCTCTCTCTTTTTTCCCTCCCTTTCTCTCGGTCCCTCTTACTTTTTTCATACATGCTCCCCTATCTCCCTCGCTCTTGCTCCTGCATAGCTGAGGTCTCACCACCAGAGAGCTCCTCAGTCCATCTTTTCTCTGCTTCTTGCGCTGACAGCAGTGGGAGGACTCTCTCCCTCTGTCTTGGCTAGTTGGCTAGCAGGCGGCGAGGCGGGCTGGCAGGGCCATCGTCTGAACCTCTCCATATGCCAGAGAACAGCAGGATAGGCAGAGACCTCTGTTACTCACTCTGGCTGAGACTGTTACTGACCTACTAGGCTCAGCTAACTGGGAGCAGTTGATACCAGTGCCCAGATTCTCGCTATGCGTGCTGTAAACCCGGCAGAAATGTTCAAAGAGGACATTTTTCAATAACGTTTGATAAGCAATAGAAAGGAGATAATAAGCGTTCTGAACAGATGTAAGCTGTTGTAAAAGCCCTGTTGTTTTTTAGGAGAGAAAATGAGGGGCAAGAGTTTTGGCACAGAGTTGAAGTGTATGTGTATGTGTGTGTGTGTGCGCGTGTGCGTGTGTGTGTGTGCCTAGGCGCTCACACACATTTGGATGGTGTGTGGATGTCCCCTCGGTGCCAGGGCTACATCTGTGGGAGAGTGGTGCAGGTGGGGAGCTTGAAAATACTAGAGGGAGCAGCAGGAGGAGCGAGGGAGAGAAAGGGAGAGAGGGTGGGCTGCTGATGCATGAGGGAAGGGAAAGGGGGGGGGGGGCAGCCGAGCAGAGCTGGGCCAAGGAGGAATGCAGATTGTTTCCATGTGTGGGGAGGACAGGAGAGCCGAGTTGGCTGCAGGCAGGTGCGGTTAGCCCCTAATGAGAAAAGTTGTGTTGGTGATGGAGGAGGCCCAAGACACTGCAGCCCAGTGGCAGAGCGCAGCCAAAGCTGAAACCACAATGTAGTGCACTACTGGCCTCACACGCTGCACTAATACACACTGTGGGGCCTTGCAGAGATAAATCAACACTGCTGGAGCTGAAACTAACTGGCACTGCTTACATTCACTGTAGGGAAACTACTGTGGTGCAGAAACTGTAAACCAATACTGAAACTAAAGGCCTTGATACATGGGCAACACTTTGAGTCAATGTAGGTGGGCAAGTTTGCAAATAAATGATCAACAATACCTGTATATTACATACTTTCTACCCCAGACCATTATAATATCCCCCTGCAAGCCCTTCCCCTTTTTCGACGGCAGTGTGTAACACGTGGACAAGTACGACTAAAGTTTTTTAGCATAAAGGAAGAGGCTTTAAAACTGGTATCAGCTTATAAAAGTCTTTTGAAAGTCTGACAACTTGGTAACACAATCCCAACTCAAGGTCTACTTACCAGCATTTTCCTGAAATTTCAGCTGCATCTTATCTTTATCAATAGCTACTCAGATTGAGTATCAACAGAACTGTCTCCATGAAAACTGTCCAAATTTCATCTGCTGAGTTGAGACTGTGTTGTCAAAATACCAAAGTCCTGATTTAGCAAACGGATGTAGGTAACAGCTATGGATGGCTACACATGTCATCTCAACTTTTAGAGTAGTAAAATATTCATACAGTTGATCATCACTGGTGCCATGGGCTGAATCACTGATTGTAGCATGTTGCCAATGCAGAGCCATTGTCTGAGTATTGCCTCTGTATCACGGCCTTCACTCTGAATGACATGCTTGTCCCTTTAAACTCGAAAGATGCCTGCATTAACAGTGTGCTGGGAAGTCGCTTCTACGTACAGCACTGAGCAGTCACGCTTACAGCAAGTAATGAGGGAAAAGGAAGAAAAGACATAAAAACACAGGAGGAGGAGGAGGAGGAGGAGGAGGAGGAGGAGGTGAATGGGTGGATGTCAATTAAATGAGGGAGGTTGGTGGGGTACCTGAGTCTGCTGGGGGATATTCAGAAAGTTGTCCCGTGTTCCGATGCCGACAAACCGGTTGGGAGCTGTGGAGCCTGGCGTGGAGTATGCTATAAAGAGAGAGACAAGTGTGTACATGCTTTTACACACACACATACACACTGAGCTTATAGTAGAGTTTGATGCTCTCATCATCATTATCTATATATTTTACTATAATATTAACTCACTACAGGACTACGCATCACTGTCAAATCAATTATTGGGAAAAGACAGTAAGGGTCAGGGATACTGATGCCCTATTAGTCACATGGGTGATTTGTTCATGTTGCGGGTAGGTTCTTTGTTATATTCCTTCACTGAACCATTTAATCTGTGGTTAACAAGGGGATGTGCAGTCTGTAATGATTAGTGCTAACATGAAGAAGCTACTTCCCGCAAACATGGCTGCACTGTTAGTCACAGACGCTCCTCAGCAACCCCTGGCCTCAGAATAAACCATCGTAATCATAGAAAACCACTGAGGACTCACTGTGGACTTAATAAAAGGGTGACCGATGGAGGAACTCTATTCATCACCAGTGGTAACCAATGCTCCAGTTAAATTTAATAGGCTAAGAGGAGCATCTTGCCTACAAAGTGACACCATTCAGTGATGCCACAGGATCAAATTTAGGGCAGTTGTGCTCACTGGACTCCAACATGGCGGCTGAGTAGAACGTTTGCTGTGCATGACTTGAGTGAGGTTGAGGGGATGGGGATGTGTGGGGGTGACAGTGAAAGGGCTGGAAACTGATGCATGAGTGAGGGTGAGAGTGTACCATATGCATGTGTGTGTGTGTATGTGTGTGTGTGTGTGTACGTGTGTATGTGTGTGTGGTGTGTGTGTGTGTGTGTGTGTGTGTGTGTGTGTGTGTGCTGGTGTGTTTTACTTATGAATGTAATTACGATATCTTGTGAATCAGAGACAAAATTAGAGAGGGAAGAAAAAAATACAGTGATAACAGCCACCGGAATGAGAAAAAGAGACGAAAATTACGATATTTATTTATATTGATGTTCATATAAATAAATAATAAAGTGACACGTTAATCTGAGAGAGTTGGAAGGGGGAGGGGAGGAAAAGGTTGATAGGACAGGAAGAGGAGAAAAAGCCAAAACAAAAGGAGGAGAAGATGCCCCGGTTGCTCCGTCCAGTGCCCCCTCCTGGTGTGCCTCTCCCATGGCCCGACTCTCGCACTGCACCTGTCTGGGTGGAACCAACCAAAGCCTCACCGCTCCCTGATGACACTCCTCTCCCGCTCCCCCGGTATAGCACTAATTAGACAGGTTTGATTAGATTTTATCATTCATGTTTAGAGAGACTGGGTTGTTCTTGTTATACTGTGATTTCCATGTTTTTTGTTGTTCTCAATTTTTAATTGTTGTGAGATTTGTGTGAAAGTGGCAAGGGGATTGGGTGGGTAAAGTGGGGCATGATGTTTTTTTGGAGTCCACGCCAACTGCCCTAATTTTGTTCCCTTAAAAAGAAAAAAAGAGAGAAATAAAGGAAAAGAAAGGAGGATATGAGAAAGGAGGATATGAGAATATATCAAATAAAGAAAAGAACAAAGCAAAAAAGAAATGAGAGAAGGGGGTAGATTGTATTGCCGCTGTCACAGACATGCAAAGTCTGCGTTGATCAAAGGCTTGCGGCTACAGAGGCAACGTGCACAGGGCCCTGCTCTGCTCTGCTCCCCCCAAACTACAAAACACATCAAAAAGAAGGGAGAGAAACTACACTGCCTCTTGTGGTGCTAGCAGGAAACCCAACACCAGAGAGAGAGAGAGAGAGAGAGAGAGAGAGAGAGAGAGAGAGAGAGAGAGAGAGAGAGAGAGAGAGAGAGAGAGAGAGAGAAAGAAGGAATAAAAAGATTTGAGGAAAGAGGAGGGGAAAAGGCTGAGAAGGCTTGCAAAGATATGAAGAGAGAAAAGGAGACTGGACTTCAGAGTGAGAGCAAGAGATATAGAAGAGCTTGAAAGAGGATCTCTGGTTTGGCAAAGGCGTGGCTTCTGCCTTGTCAGAATTGGATGTCGCTGGTACAGTACAGTACAGTACTGTGGCGTACAGTCCATAAGGTGATGGATGAAATAGGAGTGAAGCTCCTGGGGCTGCTGAGTGTTTGACTGAGCAGATGGCCAGCTAAACTATGAAAAACTGCAGCAGTAGTCATTGTAGAAGTCCCAGATCTGTGCTTTGTCAGAAGAAGTACTACAAGGTTACAAAAAAAGCCCCAGTGTCGCTGCACTGTCCATAAACACAGGGACTTCTATGATGACTACATCTGTTCTAGGACAACAGACTTGATGTAGTATTGGTTGGAACAGAGGACAAATTAGCTGCCAGCTAAGAGCTAATCAACCTACGGGAGCCTAAAATTGTTTTGGACTGGCCTCTGTAAGAAGTCTGTGGGGAGACTGGGGCAGTAATGGGGGTTTGTGGAGGGGAGTGGGAGTGGGGGGTGACTTACACGGAGATGCGGGTGAGCTGAGTCCGCCGTCAGTGGGCGTGCTGATGGTTTTAGAGTCGGGCATGGGGAGGGGCACAGGGCGCGCCACTGGGGGTGGCGGGGGCAGCAGGAAGGAGCCCGGCATTTTGCTCTGGCCACCTCCATTAGGCTGCAGACGGACCATACAGACAGGGTGAGCACACACCCCAAGAATATACAGTGCACAGGGAGCCAGACACACATACCCACACACAATAAGGTCACACACACACACACACCCACACACAACACACACAACACATTTAGACAGGACATCAACAGCATACACACTAGTAGTCTTTAGTACTCTCTAAGACAAACTAAGGTACGCACAGACACAAACTCACATAATAATAATAACAGAAAAACACACACACACACACTAACACACACACACACACACCTACACAACACACACCCACACAAGTTCACGCACAGTGAGCACGACATGGTTTCACAACACCCATACCCCACACAGCATGCCGACCACACCCACACACACACACACACACACCAGACAGTCTGGCCAAAAGTAATGAGGTACATAAGAAGTGGAAAAGTGATGAACATTGCCACACATAAGGGGAAAAGAAAAATGGAGCTGTCACAAGGGAAGTTGTTAAAGTGCCATGTGAGAATTTAAAAAAGGAGAGAAAATCAGCAATGTGGAAAGGGTGTCTGTGTGTGCAAGTGCGCTGTGTATGTGCATGTACAATTTTACAATTCTTCTTTTGTGGGTGAAGTAAGGAGAACAAAGGATAATAGGACGTGAAAAAGGGTTTGATAAGTGGTTTTAAAGTTGCTCAGAAGGCCGAGTTTACAGTATTGGTTTACAGTACTGCCAGCACCCTGCACCTTAATGAATGTGTGTCGAAAATAGTTCTGAAATATCCCCATAAGGCCAGTTGACAGTCAGCTGTATGACATGCCTATGTTTTGATGTTTGGAAACTCTAGCTTTCAGGATGAGTGTGGGCATGTTATTGGGGTTATTGAAAGGACACTGATGTTTTACTGAATTAGGTCCACGACACCTCAAGAAAGCTCAGCTGTGTCCCAGAAACCCCCCTCCCCCTCTGTTTTAATATATAATTTGTCATAGTGTGTTCATTTCATATAATGTAACTGTAGAGATAACCATTTCAGGTTATATATAATTTATTACTTGCTCTTCTACCATGCGTTCTGCAGAGAAAATGATTAGAAACTGAGTGAGATGTGCCCCTTGAGAGAAGATTATTATTGAGAGTAAAGGAACAAGAAGATCATTGTTGAGAGTTTAGGAACGTCACCAAAAATAGGTCAATTAAACAACTATTGCATCAGGAGTCTTAAATGTTTTCCTCAGGTTCCCTTCATGAATACATAACTCTCCAAACACTGCTAATCTCAAACGATCTCCAAATCCTCTACTGGCCTTTCCCGTGTCTGCAGCCCTTTCTTCCCTATTGTAAATCCTCTGCCAGCTGCCATACATACTCTATGACTTGTCTGCCTAAAAGCGCTTTTTGATATTTTCTTCCTGAGCACTACTGATAGGCAAGATGTTCCCCTACCTTACTGTGGGAGAAGGCACTACATTATATGTCTAACCTATGATGAGTCAAATGTGGTTTGGATCCTTTCCCAACAGTTTTCTCCAGCTGAGTTTTTTCTTCTGTTAAAGCACATCTGGCTGCCTCCTCCTGTTAGATGCATTTGCCCTAAAGCCATTTTCTTCCCGGGTGAAGTTGCTTCACCTCATAAAGATGGCTCTATTGCCTGTTCCAGTCTCAGTTGACCTTGTTGCACCTGCTTATCTAACAAATAAGTTATGAAATGATATAGAAACAATTATAATTACGATGCTGTTTTGTCTTGCAGTCTTACTTTCTTTCGGTCTACATCTTCTTCAGTAAATTTCACTAAAATAAACTCACTTCTAATCAGTGGCCACTTTTCTTTTATCTTAGTTTGCACCGCCGACCACCCCACTGTCACGTCACCTTTCTTTGCTGAACCCACAGTTCACTTACCTGTGCGCTGGGCTGTCCTGTGCCGTCAGTGCACACAAACTGCACAAACTCCTTAAGTGGGTCCTGGTGGTGATGGTAGCGTATGGTGGGGTGGGTGAAGTACGGGCTGGACTGCTGGATGATAGAGGAGGAGGGGAAGTGCAGGGCTGAGGCTGAGGCACGGGGACTCCCTGAGGAGAAAAGTGAAGGGGGGGTGGGGGGTGGGGGGGTGGGGGCAGGAGAAAGAAGAGGAAGACGAACGTGAGGAGAAGATACAAGAAAGACCAAAAAGTGGGAAAAATATAATGAAGCTCAGATCATTCTATTGTATTCTATTGTATTCTATTTCTACTCAAACACAGCACACATATGAAGCACACATAATACTCTACACACTGTGATATTCAGTACATTAACATGCACACCTATGACAATATATAAGACATGCATATGTTTTAACTAAGCACCAACACAGCTGGCATCAAAGACCAGGTTGCTGCTTCAGCCTATTATAGTCATAACACAGAAAATAGCTGTGACATTCTCTGACTGAAGCTGTTTCTGCTTACAAATGACTGGCATTATCCCCAGCTAGTGGGCAACATCTGGTCCCATTCATTTTATAAATCAGCCCACTAGATTCCTCTGTACCTCTGGCCTGGCATCACCACACACACACACACACACACACACACACACGCACACACACACACACACACACACACACACACAGTCTCATACAAGCTAAAGTGTGTTACAGTATTTCTGCCTTCTGCTCCTTATCCCTTTCACTCTCTCTTTCTCTCTCCGACACACACACACAGACCACTGGGCTATGACAGAGCCACACACACACTGGATTTTTCCACTTTTGTTTTATTGCTTGTCGGTGATGTGTAATCAATCAGCAGCATATCCTTGCTGTGCGGTTCTGCCCAGTAGTTTGAAGCTTGAGAGAGAATCTCCCCTCCGCTCCCAACCGACCACAAAACGCCTCCCGGAGACATTAGTCAGCCAGCCAGCCAGCCAACCACACACACACACACACACACACACACACACACACACACACACACACACACACACACACACACACACACACACACACACACACACACACACACAGGACTCCACTGTCTGTCTTTGGTAATTTGGCACACCAAACTAAAGAGGCAAGCTGCTAGGTGAGGGGAGCCTGGCAAACAAGCATCTGTGATTATGTCTGTCACCTACTATCTCTTGTGTATACTATACTCACAAAGTGTGTTAATGCCTGTATGTTCTAACTTTTGTTTTCTTGTATCAGTGTCCTTGTCTTTTTGTGTCTGTGATTTCGAGTGCAAGTGACTTTTGTGTGTTTCTTGGTGTGTATGTAATTTTGTTCTCTGTCTGTTTGAATGTGTTGCTATGTCTGTTGCAGCTTTCATCTGCCTTTGTATGTATATTGGTGTGTGTATGTATAATCGCCGCCACAGTGGCGGACTCTCCAGACTAGTATAATCAGACAACAGTCAACCTGGCAGCTCTCCACGTCAGCCTGAGCCAAAAACAGGGCATAAACCATCCAGTCCTTACCCATGAACACCAACACTCACTAGACCTATACAACAAGAGCTAACAGCTCTGGTCCATCCAAATAGAGCCACAATTGCTAACTGCGTCTTCCCCCTCTCTGTGTCTACCCCCATTTCTCTTTTCATCCCTCACTCCTTCCTTCCCTCCCATCATCCTCCAGTCTCTTTATAGAACCAAGGCCTCCGAGGGACATTCCATTTGGACGGCAGCCATTTTAGCACACAGAGTCCTCCACAAGAGTGTAAATTTACACATGCACGCATGTGTGTATCTGTGTGTACGTGCACGAATGCACCCATACACAATCTCTAAACACTGTCTCATTACAGCCTCTCTGTTACATGAAAACCCTCTCAGCCAACAGTCCACACACACAGTTTGGAGAGTGTGAGAAGTTAGTTGGGGAACAAAGAAACCTGAGCTAGTCCCTCACACCTCTTCAACTCACGCACAAAACAGAGTAGCACATTTTTAAAAATCAACACAAACGCATAATTCAATCTGGTGTTTTGGTTTCTCAAGGGGGTACAGGACTGCTCTGTGCAGATAAACAACATGGCTTAATGGTGCAAGATCCGGCCTGGACTATATTTTCTAAATATACTGTGGGGAGCTCCGAAAGTAAAATTCAATACGTTTCAACACGGAGGGCAATGAGTCCAAATGACCTTTACACGGTAGGTCTGGTTTGGCTGTGGACCAAACCATCCCTTTGAGAGACAAATGGAATGAGAGGGAGAGATAGAGAGAGGAGGACATATTTATTCCTTTGAAAAGTGAGACCAGCCTACAGGGACTTGTTGGCAAACTTGAGATCCTGGAGACTTTGGGAATTCTCTGACTGGAGATGGAGAAACCGGTTATCCTATAGGACCGAAAAGCCCTTATGAGGACAACTTGTCCTTAGTGTCTCTATTGAAAGAATAATTTGGAAACACTGGAGGTTGAATTAAGAATTTTATCCACTACATTGTACATCTGTGCAACTGCAAATTCTGTATCAATCCATGCTACTTCTTCGTTCTCCTTTTTATACCTGTATTTGCTGCTTATTCTCAAGAAAATAGAAACAAGAAAACCCTACCAGACACATCTTTCGAGGAACAGAAATACAACTGAGGTGGTGTGTCTGAATGTAGGAAATGAAAGAAACAAAAAAACAAGCTCTGGTTCGCTCATCAACTGGTGCACTATAGCAAACCAACCAACTCCAGTGAAAACCTAGTGTTGATATGCATTGGTCCTTTGACACCCAGTCAAGTTCATTATATCAGAATAAACAGTCTTGTCGTTTTCAATGCAAGAAGTGACTTCGAAAAACAATACAACAAATGCATGAAGCAGTAAGATGTGAGGCAAATCAGTCACAAAGGCATGGATGTAGCAATGGTACCATGCAATGACTATATTAAAACAAACAGGCACAAAGATGGCGGTAAAAATGGATGGATGGAGAGATGCTGAAAGAGAGAGAGAGAAATTTATGCCAAGCCATGATGATAGCAGTAACACTGAACAGGTGAAACTCTGCGGGCATATTGCTTCTCAGCAGTTGAAACTGGAAGATTGGAAAGTTTTGTTTTGCTTTCTCAGCAAGTACGTTTAGCATTTTCATTTTCAGGCACACGATTGCAGAATTGATTTTGTTTGTT